TATTATAAGTATAAAATTTAAATTTTTAGACTTATTATATAATAGAATTATATATTCTTTCTTAAAATTTTCTTTTAAGTTATTTATAAGCTTTAAAAACCTTAGTAAAGTTAAAAGTAAGTTTATAAGCTTAATAGTGCTTATATAAGCATACACTAATAAGAGTCTTATTATTTAAGTAATAAGCTATATAAATATATAAAAAGTTACTTAAAATTCTTACTAAATTATATAAAAAAACTTATATAAACTTTACTATAGTTTCTTTTCTAGTTTTTAACTAATATAAATAATAATAAAAATATTTAAAAAATAGTTTTTAGTTATTTAACTATTTAAATAGCTAATAATATTTTTTAGTTATTTTTAGCTATTTTTCTTTAAGTAGGTTTCTTAGTTTAAAAGTATAGTGTTTTAAAGGAATTTTTAAAGGTACTTAGAGTACTGCTTAAATAATAAAAACATACTGCCTAAATAGTAATACTCTTAATTAATATAATTAATATTATACTTTATTATAACTTTTTTATAATTTAAATTCTATTTACTTTTTAATATTACTCTTAAATACCTTTAATAAAAATAGCTATAAAAAAGCTTTAAAGCTTTTATATAATATTAAGATTTATAAAGAAAATTACTTATATTATAAAAAGTTATAAAGTATATATTTATAATTATATTAATTATATAAAACTTTTAAATAAATTAATATTTATTTAATTTTTAGCTATTTTATTTTATAATATTATTATAAACTTTATAATAAGACTTTTATAAATAAAAGCTAAAGATATAATATAGCTTAGCTTATTTAAAAAATACTTAAATACTTTTATAATTAATATTAATAAATACTTTAAGTTTTATTATTAATTATTAATAATATTTATTATATTATAAAAGATTATATAAAAGAATTATATTAAAAATTACTTTAAGTAAATTAAAATATTTTATAATATATTATTTTTAATTAAGACTTTAAATTTATATTTAACTTTTAATAAAGTTTATAAATAACTTATAATATAAAGCTATTAATATTAATTACTTAATATTTATAAATAAATAAACTCTTTAAGTAATATAATTAAATAATAAAAATTACTTTATATTTTTTTATATATAAATACTTAAAGAAATAGCTAAATACTTTAATTTTAGCTTAGTTTATATTAAATAAACTTATATATTATATTTATTAAATAGATATTAAATAAACTAGCTTTTAATTAATAAATAAGTAATAAGTATAAGTATTTAAATATTAATATTTTATTTTAAAATATTAATATTTTATAAAAAAAAGCTTAAATAAGTATTACTTTATTTTAAAATATTATAAAAAGCTAATATAATAAAAAGTATTAATTATTAAAGTTTATATTAAATAATTAAATATAATTAAAATTAAATAAAAGCTATTATATTTTAAATTTATAAAATATTAAATATTAAAAATATTAAGCTAAGCTATTTTAAATAATAAAATAAATAAATTATTTAACTTATAAATTAAAGTTAAATAAAACCTTAAATATATATTTAATTATTTTAATAATATACTTATAATTAATTAATATATTAAAAAACTAGCTAAGATTAACTAACTTAAATTTTTAAAAGCTTTTAAATTAAAAAAGTAATTATTTTAAGTTAATATAAATTCTTAATAATTATATTATATATTTTAAATATAATAAAATAAAAAAATAATACTTAATAATATAAAAAAATAGCCTAGCTATTATAATACTTAAATAAAAGTAAATATTATTTATATTTTAAAATTAATAAATAAAATAAATAAAATTAAATTAAATTAAAAAAATTAAATTAAAAAAATTAATTTAATAAAATTAATAAAATAAAAGCTTATTATTTTAATAATATATTTATTTAAAGCTAAAAGAAATTATTAAAATATATTAAAATTAATTTTAAAAAATAAATTTATAATTAGCTATTTATATATTTATAAATAAAATTTTAAAAACTTTTCTTATAAAATATTAAAAAAAGCTTAAAAAAACTTTAAGTAAAAATTAAAAAGTATTTTAATAAAAAAAGCTATTAACTTTTAAAAAAACCTTTAAAAAAAGGCTTTATAAATTACTTAATTTTTTATTAATAATAATTTATAATTACTTTATTATTTAAAATAATAAAATATAAAACTTTAATATAATATATAATTATAAATAAATAATTATTATAAGTAAATAAATTTATTATTATTATTTATTAATAATTAAATAATAATTATAAAAAAGTAAAGTATAAATATTAAAATAAATATATTACTTACTTTTAATATATTACTTAAATTATTCTTTAATTATATAGTTTTTTAATAGTTTTTTATTAATAAAGCTTATACTTAAGTATTTTAAAATAAAGTAATAATATAATAATAATTTTTTTTTAAAAACTTAATCTTTTATTAAACTTTTATAAAGCTATTTTATAAATAGCTATTTTATTTTATAAAAAAAATACCTTTATAATATTAAGATTTATAATTTTAAGAAAATATTATTAAATAATTAAAAAGTATAATAAATAACTTTAATAAGTAAAAGTATAATAATTTAATAAAGTTAAATTACTTTTATTAATATATATAAAAAATAAAGCTAAATTAAATAATTAATAAAATAAATAATAGAAAAACTATATATTATATATAAATAATTAGCTTATAATTTTATTAACTAGCTTTTTTATAACTTAAGTTATAATACTTTTAATATTACTTTTTAATTATATTTAAAATATTATACTTTATATTCTTAATATATTATTTTATAATTTTATTTTTAATAATTTATTATAATATTATTATTTTAAGCTTAAAAAAATAAATAATAAAGCTATTATATTTATTACTTAAAATATATATAGCTATTTTATAAATTAAATTAAAAAAAATTAAATTATTTTATATTATAATTATAAAATAACTTTTATTAATAAAAGTAATAATAATAATTTTTAAATAATTACTTTTTTTTATAATATAACTTAAATAACTTTAAATAAATAAATAAATAATTTATAAAAAATACCTTTAATATTATTAATATTATTTAATTTATTATTACTTTTTTATACTTTTTTATAAATAAACTTAACTTTAAGCTTATTTTTATTATTATAAATATATTAAAACTTATTAAAGTTTTATAATATTTTTTTTAACTTTATAATAAATACTTTTATTATTAAGTTTATAAAGTAGCTTTTAGCTAATAATACTTTAAGTATTTTTTTAATAAATATTTATTATTTTACTATAATAATACTTTTTTTTTTATATTATTTATTTTATTTTATATATTTATATTATAAATTATTAATATATTAACTTAACTTTTTAAAAAAAGTCTTAATATAATCTTAAATAATAATAAAAGTATTATAATAATATTAAGTTAATTAAGTTATAAAGTTTTATATATTATAATAAATATTTAAAAAATTATTAATAATTAATTTAAAATTATATTAGTTTTTTATATTAAATTTTAAGTATTATTTTTTTTTAAAAAAAATAGCTAAAATCTTTATTACTTTTTATAAAAATTATATTAATAATAATATTATTAAGTTTATAATTATTAATATTATAATATATTTAAGACTTTTTTTATAAGTTATTATTTATATTAATTTTTTAATTTTTATTATATATAATAATATTATTAATAAAGTATTTATTATTATTAAACTTTATATTCTAGTTTTTAATTATAAGTTTATTATATAAATAGTTATAAATATAATATAATTTAATATTAACTTAAATATTATTACTTTACTTTTTTATAATCTTAAGTCTTAATTAAATAAATAAGAAAAATATTAATTATTATTTTATTAAAGTTAATAAATTTAACTTTAATAAATTAATTAATTAAGATATTATTTATTATATTTAAATATTATTAATTAATAAAAGTTTAAAAAAAAGCTAATAGCTAATAATAAAAGTATTTATATTTATAATTTATAAGTTATTTTTACTTATATAAAAGTAAATATAAAAAAAAAAAAATATTAAAAAAGCCTTAATACTTATAAAAAGTAATATATAATTAAAAAATTCTTAAAATAATAAAAATATTATTAATTCTTTTTTTAAAAGAAAAGACTTATTATATATAATATTAAGTAATTATTAAGACTTTTTTAAAAAATTTTTTAAAAAAACCTTAAAGAATTTTCTTATTATTTCTTAGCCTTTTTTTTAATAATTTTATTAAGACTTTTTTTTAAATTTATATTTAGTTAAATAAAAGATTTTATTAAAATTTCTTTATATATAAAAAAAAAGTAAAAAAAATAAAAAAAATATTTTTTTTTATAATTACTTTTTATTAAGATTTTTATTAATAACTAGTTTAGCTATTATATAAAATTTTATATAATAACTAGCTTATATAATAACTAGTTTATTTTTTAAGAATTCTTATAGTTTTTATATATTAAAAAAAAATAAAAGCTATATTTTAAAAAAAAATTAAAAAAAATATTTTAATATTTTTTTTTAAAAGAAATAAAAAATATTTAACTTTTAATAAGAAATTAAAAAAAGAAAAGTATTATTTTTAAAAAAAATTAATTTAAAAAAAGAAATAACTTAATAACTTAATATTTAAGAAATATAATAAGTTAATATTAAAAATTAAGTAAAATATTATTATAAAGGTTTTTTTAAATATAAAAAGTTATAATTATATATAATAATTATAAATAAACTTATAACTTATATTAAACTTTTTAAATAAAATATTTTTATTAAGCTTTTTTATTATAAAAAAGCTATTTAAGAAAAAAAATAAAAAATTAAAAAATAATCTTATAGCTAATATAATAATAAGTTAAAATATATATTATATATTAAGATATATATAATAATACTATCCTTAGTATTAGCTTTCTTTTACTACCTCCCTTAATAAACTTTATAATTACTTTAGAATATATAGCATCCTCTAGCTTATTAACTCCCCTATCTCCCTAGCTCGATTTATAATATCCTCTGGTATTCCACTTAGGACAGCACATTGGCTCCCTAAACTTGTCGAGCTATAGCCTTCTACAAGCCTAAATAAGTAAGTGACTTTATCCTCCGGATTAATAGCATCCCAGTCAGTTCTCACGTCCATATGCGCCAATGTGAGGGTAGAATGGTGGTTCAGATAGCCATTGGCGAACACCTCATGGAAATGTGTGGCAGCCAAGATTCTTGGTGTCTGTGCCGCGGAGGAGAGGAAATAGTCCAGCATTGCTGTGAACATCCCAGCACCATCGTTGGCTGTTGTCCCATTCCCAAATTCATCCAACAAGACAAGGCTCCGTGCTGTAGAGTATTTCATGGCATGCGAGACGTCTTTTAGATCGTGTGCAAAGGTGCTTCCCGTACCGGACACACTTTCCCGTAACGAAATGCGTGTTAAGATTTTGTCGACGGTGCCGATCACAGCGGCATCAGCTGGCACAAAGCTCCCGATGTGTGCCAAGTAGACGATAATAGCCACTTGCTTGATGTAAACGCTCTTCCCGGATTGATTCGGCCCAGTCAAAACGAGTGCTTGAACGGTGCGTCCTGGTGTCACATTGCCGTCATCACCTATGTAACAATCATTCGGCACAAAGGACGGAGAGAGCAGCTCCTGTAGCGGATGCCTTCCGCCCTTGATGTGAAGGATGTTGGCAGTGGTCAGCTGCGGTGCTTTCCATCCATACTTTGCAGCCCCAATGGCAAGGGCCAGAAGTGCATCAAATTCCCCGCAGATGGCTGCAGTTGCTAGGAGGGCCTCCTCGTGGACTATAACATCCATAGCCAGCCTCTGCATCACCTCAACTTCCCTGTCTATAGATCGTTAGTATTGAACCCTGGACCCAGACTGTCGACGCCCGTCATACCGCTGATTTGAGAATAGATGTCTCCATACTGTTCATCAAGTTCTGTCATATGGCGATTCTTATAGTAGGCGGTTTCATTATCGGTGAATGATTTCTTCCATAGCCCGTCGCCTGCACATTCTTCGTCAAAACTGCTGCCGCCCTGCTGATAGCCTTGCTCGACAACCGTCAAGAAACCAAGCTGGGGAAGGAAAATGCATGATCGTATAGACTGGCGTGCCCATGCGGGCAAATCCTGGGCGACGTGGTTGGCGACCTCCGTCAAGAAGCTATTCAAACCGTCATACTGTCGCTTCAACCCATCCAGCTCGTCATCTATGCCAGGCCGTACTGAATAGCGCTGTTGGGACTTCGCTTGGTCAAAGTTGACCACCCTTTCAATCAAATCGCCCACCCGAGTTAAGACCAGAGGAGCAATCCCGTCAATAATCTGCAATAAAACATTAGCACGATTGCAGGAGACCTTGGACCTTACTTGCCTTGTTGACGATGCTGCTCTGATTTGCATCGGAGAAGGTCATTGCGAGTTCTCTTAGTTTTAGGGACTGAGAAGCAAATCTTTTCAGTGTACCCTATACACTGATGTTGAATGATCTGTGAGAAGACGGAGAGTTGATACCCTTATGAAGATGAGAGATTGTATGCTCTATGTTCCCCAATTTTCGCAAGACAGAGACGACACGTCTCGACTTCTCCTCGTTGCTGGGTTGAAGAAGCAGGGAGATGGTACGTTGTCGGTCCATGATGATATCGAGGTCTGACGTGGGCTGAAGGAACATGTGTCGTAGATGTGCTCGACCCTGGGGAGTGGAAGCCAATGGGTGAAGTAGGCCATATATAGAGAGATTCTCCTTTTCGGATGAGCTGTTTGAGTCAATACTCCAGGCTTGGCTATTTGGGTGTGACTCATGATTGATGATCTGAAGAGATAGCAGGGACTCCTCGCTAACGAAAACATGGTCCGCTAGGTTGAACATTGTGACGGACCTCACGTCGAAGATGTCCACTCCGCCGGAGCTGCTGGGAGAGGATGCGAGGGACCGACGTCGGTGTAGCTCTGTGAGAAGGGCACCAGCGCAGCTCAACTGCTCGTCTAAGTACTCGTTCAGGGACTCTCAAGGCACAAGTTGGCCACTTACAGAAGCGACGCTCTCCAGGTCGACCAACGAGCCGCAGCGGACAAGTTTCATGCACTGCGGCTCGCTGTGACCTGGCATGTGCAAAGCTTGGCCGTTGCTCCCTATGCATTGCTCCTCGGTGTTTGACGGGGATGCGGTTCGAAACGAGCAATCGCCGTTTGAACCAAGTGACGACAATTCCTCGCACGCAAACGTATGCGAGAAGTCAGAAGACGGCATCAGGCGAAAATGAAGGTCTGATACCCGAGCGGAGGTGAGTCAGAATGGCTAACTATGAGCGATGCGATGCGGACCGGGAAACGCTCACCGTGGGTGCTTCTCTCAACGTGCTTCTCCACGAAAGTTAGAATCGTTTCTGGAACTCGCCTTGACATCAAGATCGTGGTTGGCTGCGCGTAGTTGAGAAACTGTTCGGCCACATTCTCGTTCGCCATCGGTATGTCATTTGCGATTTTGAGCACCCCATCGGCGGTGGAGAAGATGCTGCACCCTATTGCTCTCTTCTCTTTTACGTCGATGGCGACGATGGACTCCACGACATCAGAAGACTCGCTCTCCCGATCACACGGGTCGTCTCCTGTAGCCTCCATCGTGGGGGTTTTCCATCTACAGCGACTGTGTAATGAGTGCAAAGTCACGGAGCGAGAGCAGCACGCAGCAATGACATGATGGACTGGGGAAAGGCAGGCGTGATGCCGCCTCCCTTCCCGTTTCCCACTTATCGATAGAATCAGTCATGCTGCTTTGGCAGGAGACTCGTGGAATGCTTTACCGTAGATGCGTATTAGGTAAGATATGATAATGGAACAAAACAGACGTTGCAGTGATTACCTAGGAACAGATACGTGCTTCAAATCCCTCGCCAGAATTTGCTGTTATCCCTGGCTGCTGAATACAAATAGACACCTAGAACTCCGTGGCAGCAACCGACATTGACGCTTATAGTGATGATACCATCTCATCTTCCTCCACCCGAATCGAGTGCTCGTCAGCCAACGCCTGCACAGAGGCGAGTGCCTGTTCCGGCGCGATTACAGCAAAACCTCTGTCAAAGAGAGTTAACAATTGGACTGCACTGGATCAGCTGGAAATGTACCTAATGATGGTGTAGACATGTGTGACTTTGCCACCGGCCTTGATGATGTTATCCTTAACTTGGTTGACTATTGCGTCGGGCGTAGATGCGTCGTCAAACCAAATGATTGCAGATTTCTTTTGATCAACGGCTGAAGCCAGTTGAAACAGGCTCAGAGCCGAGACGAACCACAGACTGCACCGCATACTGAGTGATTAGGGAGACGTAAAGAGGCAGAGGAGTGCGAGATGGTGGCAACGGTGACAGTTAGGGGCTTGGAGAGTGGTCCGCAACGTATCACTTCACATTCAGCAGTAGTATTAAGGACACGACTTATTACGTTAGGAAAATATATCTCATCCTAAAAGGGTAATATCTTATTATTAGTAGTTCTTAATATAGAAATATATATATATATATTTATATATCTTATAAATATAGTTTAAAACATATATATATATATATATATAATTATAATAATTAAGTTATTATTTTTTAATATATTTATTAATATTAATTAGAATTAAATTAGTTAGCTTCTTTAAATTTCTATACTTTCTTTTTAAAAGGCTTAATATAAATTATATTACTTATTAGATACTAGTCTATTAATGCAGCTAAAGCGATTAATATAGTATCAGTTCTCCATACAGGGAACGTAAACAAATCTATTTATAGGTACTCGCGAGACCCTTACTTCCCGAGTCCGTAACTGGCTTGTGACACTTCAAGCTGATGCTTGACCTTGGATTTGATGCTCCCAACTCCAACTCCATTGCTCCAACCACGTTCAAAGGTCGGCCACAGTGACCGCTCTCGGCCAATGCGTATCCTAACAACGCGATCGGCTGGCAGGCTCTGACCGTGATGTTGAGTCCTTACGGCCAATACGACGTCCATCGCATTGAACGCTACGAAGACTTGCGATAATGTCATCCGAATCGCCAAACGACCGTGCTGCGCACGCGCCGCCACCTCTCGGTTTACACAATGTCAATTCGCCTGATGAACGTCGCGACTCGAACCAAACCCGTGGGCTAGAATCCACAGCGAGGACGACCAGCGATACTGGACTGTCAACCTACTGGCAACCTTCATATATCTCGTCTTCTCATGATCGCATAAGCTTCGACTCACATATAGATCCTACAGCGCTGCAGGCGGCGCTCCCTCCTGATATTCCACCACCACTCGCGCAACCCTCGCACTTTGCTTCAGATTCCTATCTTTCGTTCGATGGAGGCCCACAGTATATTGAAGAGTCGGCGAACCCATATTACTCTGATTCTGATAGAGTTCCACTCACTGCTGGAGTTCAGCCGATATCCGGCTCTCATCCTGGAGATGACCACGGACTCCATGCACGAGACAGCTTCCAGACTGTTCGTGATCTTGACAGTACACCAATACGAGACCACGAAGGAAAGAACCTTGGGCACGGTTCCAATTCGGACTATTTGCCCAGTGGCCACCAGAGTTATGGGATGACGCTAGATCCCGGAGATTATCGCCTACCGCGATCGCCTTCTACGTCTGGAGCATTTCATCGTGCTGGTTCAATTGTGAGGGCTATGTCCCAGAGAGTTGTGAACCTCAGCGGAGAGTCAGACGTCGCGGACCAGAGGTCCTCACGCTATCGCTCCCGATCTCGCGACTCAGCAGATGAAAGATCAGCCAACCCGATAGCCTCGACGTATGGCAATGAGCCGTACTACTCCCAAACAGCCTCGTCTCGTGAGGAGAAGGCAGCTCAGAATGTCTTCCTGACCGCCGAAGTTCCGACTCGAACATCACCCTCCATTCGCTCAAAGCCGCCCAACCCCCTCAAAGGGAAGACGCTGGGTATATTCTCTCCAGAAAGCCGATTCAGGCTATGGATGTGTGACGTCCTGGTGAATCCATATACCGAGCCATTCATTTTGCTCCTGATCATCTCTCAAACTATTCTACTTGCTGTAGAATCCTGGCCAGACGTCTTCAGTCCTGGCAATGAGCGCCCGCAGCGATGGGGTAAGAAGGCGATAGATTGGACCATGCTCGGGCTCTTCATTGTATTTACCTTAGAGATTTTTGCCAGGATCGTGGTGTCTGGCTTCATATTGAATGCAGAGGAGTATAGTACTATTGATCGCAAAAGGGGCATCAGGGCAGCAATTGCAGATCGATACAAGACAATATTTCAGCCTCAACGACAGAGATCCGTGAAGAGAGTTCGTTCTACTCAGCCACAGGCCCCTGCCTTTGCCCGATCTTTCACAACCTTGATGATGCAGGGGCAGCACACTGGCCCAAAGACGGTTGAAGAGCAGCAGCGCTTGCAGTTGGCTCGACGAGCCTTTCTGCGCCATTCATTTAACCGCATGGACTTTGTCGCCGTCTTCTCTTTCTGGATCACCTTCATACTGGGTATCACTGGTTCCGAAACCCGACATCATTTCTATCTCTTCAAAATGCTCAGCTGTCTCCGCATCCTGAGATTGTTAGCCCTTACTCACGGCACTGCTGTAAGTCGTAGCCTCCCTGGCCCCCCCGACCTTCTAGGATGCCATACTTACGCGATATAGATTATTCTGAGGAGTTTAAAAAAGGCAGCGCCTCTCCTTGTCCGTGTAGCGTTTCTCATTGGCTTCTTCTGGCTCCTTTTTGCAATCATTGGCATGCAGAGCTTCAAATCGAGCTTCAGCCGACAGTGCGTATGGTTGGATCCTCTGGATCCCAACAATCTTACAGCCTCGTTCACCAACGATATGCAGTTCTGCGGCGGCTACTTGGATAATTCAACTGGTGCTACGCTACCTTGGGTTAAACTCGGTGCCTCTGGATCACTCGAGGACCTTGTCAAAGGAACTTCCGAAGGCAAGGGATACCTATGCCCCAGGGGATCGATATGTCTCCAGCAAGACAACCCGTACAATGGGACAGTCAACTTCGACAACATTCTGCATTCCCTCGAACTGGTCTTCGTAATCATGAGTGCCAACACATTCTCCGACCTCATGTACTACACTATGGCCTCTGACTACCCCCAAGCGGCTCTCTTTTTCGGTGCTGCAATCATGATTATGATGTTGTGGTTGACCAACCTTCTGATCGCCGTCATTACTTCATCATTCCAGGTCATCCGTGAAGAGAGCAAATCGAGTGCTTTCACGGTTGAGCCCGAGCCTTCCACACAGCCGCACACCGACACGCTGAAACGGAAAGCTTCAACAACACAAAACCTTTATAGGAAGACTTCATTGTTTTGGTTGCTCGTGGTTGCCTTTGCTTTGCTCAGTGAGGCTTGTCGGAGCGCAACCATGTCTTATTCTCGTGAAGAGTTCATCAACGCCGCCGAGATTGCTGCCACCATACTTTTGGATGTTGAAATCATCATTCGAATCGTAGCCTACTGGCATCGGTTTCATCGAAGCTGGCGGAACATCTTTGACTTGGCCCTGGCTATCATTACCTCTGCAATCTTAATACCGCCGATTCGCAATTCTCGAGTTTATGCGTGGCTCACAGTCTTTCAAGTCCTTCGGGCATACCGGGTTGTTTTGGCAATACCCGTGACGAGGAAGCTCATCCTTCTAGTGCTGGGAAGCGCGGCAGGTATCGGGAACCTCATGTTGTTCGTGTTTCTGATGACTTTCCTGGTAGCAATCCTAGCTGCCCAGCTCTTCAGGGGGCAGATACCTGTTTACGACGATGGCGAGCTCAATCGCATCTCATTCAATACAGTGTTCAACTCGTTCCTCGGCATGTATCAGATACTCTCCAGCGAGAACTGGACGAACATTCTGTACTCGGTCACATCGTACACTACGGCGATGAAGACGGCCTGGATTGGTGCCGTGTTTCTCATAGGATGGTTCATTTTGTCCTTTTTTATCCTGATCAACATGTTCATTGCCGTCATTCAGGAGAACTTCGACGTATCGGAGGATGAGAAACGTCTAGAGCAAGTCAAGGCCTTTCTCCAGCGAAAGGAACTTGGGCGTACTGCCAATAATCTTACGTTGTCGACCATCTTCAGCTTTGGGAAATCTCGCCGCCGTAAAGATCCACTGGACTATGGCCCAGGCATGATGGAAATGCTTCTCAAAGACACTGTGGTGCAGGAGTTCTTGGATGATGAAGTGGCCGACCCTCTCCGTCTTCATCCGGACCACAGAAGTCCACCTCACCGGAGTACGACAAACTTGATGGGCGACGGCAAGCCAGGATTCATAAAGAAAATTTGGGCACGGGTGAATAAGAGTGAACCGAACCCATTCTACTCGAATCTTCGCTTCGACGGTCCCAATGGCACGTTGGACCCTCGGCAGATGGCTCGGCAGGCAGTATCAGCAACGTCGGCCCGCCGCAAAGCTCAAAGAGATTACCTCGCCCGGCATCCTCGATACAACACCTCCTTGTATATATTCCCTCCCAGCAGTCGCATTCGGCGCTTTTGCCAAAGGCTTGTGGGCCCAGCCAGAGGCCTCGAGCGCTTCGACGGCGTCGAGCCCAATAAGATAGCCTGGTACTCGATATCAACCTTCATCTACGCATCGGTCTTCGCAATGGTTGTCATCGCCTGCGTCACGACGCCGCTCTACCAGAAAGAATATCGCGACCAGCATCCCTCCACGGTAACGCAATGGTACATTTGGACAGACATGGCCTTTGCCATAATCTTCACAGTTGAAGCAATAATCAAGATCATTGCCGATGGTCTCCTGTGGACGCCCAACGCATTTCTACGGAGCTCGTGGGGTATCATTGATGCTGTCGTGCTGATTACCCTGTGGATCAATGTTGTGACACTGCTCATTGATGACGGTGCCATCTCAAGAGCACTGGGTGCGTTCAAGGCGCTCAGGGCCCTTCGGCTACTGAACGTGAGCGACAGCGCGCGGGACACGTTTCACTCACTGATCATAGTTGGATGGTGGAAACTTCTAGGAGTAAGAAAGACGACAGCATGCTGAGTTGGTCTTTGCTGAACTCTGCTAATGATGTTACAGGCGGCGTTCGTATCCATATCCCTCCTCATCCCGTTCGCTATATACGGGCTTAATCTCTTCAATGGGCTGCTGGTGTCTTGCAACGACTCTGGCGACATTACTCTCCTATCCCAATGCTTCGGCGAATTCAACAGCACACCTTACTCTAGCGACTGGCCAATGTTGGCGCCGCGGGTGGCATCAAACCCATATTTCGGCTTTGATGATTTCGGCGCGTCGCTCTTCACCTTGTTCCAGATTGTCAGCCAAGAAGGATGGGTGGATGTTTCTTTCGCTGCTCAAGCAATTACTGGTCGCGGCATGCAGCCGCAGGATCTGGCAAACCAGGGGAACGCCATGTTTTTCGTTGTTTTCAACCTCTTGGCAACGGTCTTCATCCTTACGCTCTTTATCTCCGTCTTTATGAGAAATTACACAGAGCAAACCGGAGTTGCCTATCTTACAGCAGAGCAACGGTCATGGCTCGAGTTGCGAAAGCTCCTGCGCCATATCTCGCCGTCGAAAAGCTCGTATGATGATTCGGAAAACAAGTGGAAGAAGTGGTGCCATAAACGGGCCATTGAAAAAAGGGGCAAATGGTACCAAGCGGTCACTGTTGTGCTGGTCCTGCATCTTGTATTGCTGGTTGCTGAATTTAGCGATGAGCCGGACTGGTGGACAACGACTCGCGAATACATTTTCCTGCTCTTCACTCTGATATACATCAGCAACATCACGATTCGGATCATAGGCCTGGGCTGGACGCGTTTCCGACGAAGCTCTTGGGATCTGTACTCTCTGGTGGCTGTGTCAGGCGCCTTTACTGCGACCCTGGCGCTGCTCATCGCCGACACGAGAGCGGATACATATGTGCAGCTGCACAAGATATTCCTGGTTTCCATTGTCCTCTTGGTGATCCCGCGGAACGATGCGCTGGATCAGCTGTTCAAGACGGCCGCGGCCAGTCTGCCAGTGATCGGCAACCTCCTGGCCACCTGGTTTGTGTTTTTCCTCGTCTTTGCCATTGCAATGACGCAGACCTTCAGCCTGACCCGCTTTGGAGACAACGAGGGGAGCGACATCAACTTTCGAACAGTCCCCATGGCTCTGATCTTCTTGTTCAGGATGAGCCTGGGAGAAGGCTGGAACCAGATCATGGAAGACTACGCCGGCATCGAACCGCCCCTGTGCGTCGAAGCGGACAGTTTCTTTGACAGCGACTGCGGCAGCAAGCCATGGGCTAGATTCTTATTCATAGCGTGGAACATCGTCAGCATGTACATCTTTGTAAATCTGTTTGTTTCGTTGATCTACGAAAGCTTCAGCTACGTTTACCAACGCTCGTCCGGCATGGCGGTCGTTGACCGGGACGAGATTCGGAGATTCAAAGAGGCCTGGCGCAGCGTGGATCCGGCCGGCACTGGCTACATCAGCAAGGAAGCCTTCCCGCGCCTGCTTGGCGAGCTATCTGGCGTGTTCCAGATGCGGATCTACGAACCGGAGGATTCTGTACGGCAAATCCTGGAGGATGTGCGTGAGGACATCAGGGCTTCTCGCCATACCTCGATCGTCTCGACGGCTGCGCTCAACGATATTGACATCAACCGGTTGAACGAGAGGCTGAGCCACCTGGACATCAAAAAGATTCGCAAACGCCGTCAGCGATTCAACATCTTTTACGAGGAGGTTCTTGTAAGCGCCGATCCGGACAAGGGAATAGCTTTCACCGATGTTTTGATGATTCTGGCTCATTACAACATCATCAACGATAGCAAGAGCCTAAGGTAAAGCCCTCCATTGAGTTGCGACGAGTCGCTTGTGGTCAAGTCCATGTCCGCTAACAGAATACCAGACTGGAAGAATTCTTGCGGCGGCGAGCACGGCTACAACGGGTCGATGAAGGCATACGACGACGAATTGTGCAGGGTTTCTTCGACACACTGTAAGTAGCAGCATAACCCGCACCATTGGGCGAACGTGTCGGCGACGGTGAAACTGACCAGATGAACGTAGCTACTGGTCACGCAAGTTCAAAGCACACATGGAGAGAAAGCGAGCTTCTCGCATGATTACAATCCCACAGCTCAGGATCCCAGACATACTGGTCGAGGATGACGATGACGCTCTGTCCGCGCACGGTGAAGCAAAGACGTCTCCCCTCAGCACGGGTGCTGGCGTGGATGAACACAGAAAGTCAGCGTGGCCGCCAGAGACGATGGCTGATGGCATGGCGCAAAGCCACCCCCTGGGCTTCCCTCGGTCATCTCTCACAGCACAAGAAGAGAGCAGGGGAACCTCAACATTCAGCTTTGAACTCGAGACGCCAGATCTTCGGGAAACTATGGCTGCAGAGCTAGAGCGCCCCACGGACAACAGCAATCTAGACTCGGTTCAGGACATGCTGGACGGCTCAGTGTGGATAGACAGCATCCGCCGGAGCGCGACCTTGCGGGCTACGGATCGAAGCTCATATCGATATGACGACTTGCCCTAGTCTTGACGCGCCCTCTCCCTCATCGTGGGAAAGCGACTGAAGGGCTGGAGAATGTCGTTCAGCGTGAACGTACTAGTATTTACAGTTGTGTTTTGACTTTTGCTTAGCCTTTATATATCTAATATCATGACCCAAGTGTTGCCGAATCTTTTGCTTTTCCTTCTTCTTCCACCCTTTCTACAGCTCCCTCCTGCCAACCTTTAAAATTTTTCTCTTTATCCTCCCCTACGGCCCCCTTTTCTGTGCTATACTGATGAACACAGCTTACTCTCGCGTGTTGTGAATATCCAAGACCAGAATGTCGTGCGCGCCAACTCGGGTCAGTTCATCCATAACTAGGGCGATCTTCTTCTTTTCGACCATTGAGCTCACAGCAACCCAGCCGTCATCCAAGGATGTGATGGTGGGGGCGCGTTTTCCGGGAGTGATCTTTGTGGCCGCCGCGACACCGGATCGCTCGATGTTGTACTGACAGAGGACATATTTCTGGGCTGTGATGACACCACGTATCCGCGAGGCAATGAGATCTACCAGGTCGGGGTTTGACGGCGCCCGAGACTTGATGAGAACGGCCACTGACTCGACCACCGTGTCGATGGCTTTCAGTCCCGCAGCCCTCATGGTCTCTCCTGATTCTAAGAAAGGGGTTAGAAGGAGAAGACGAAAAGGAGAAGGAGGCCGGGGGTCGGTTGGGAGCTAGGTGAGAGGGCAGAGACTTACCAACAAGGTCCACGATGCCGTCGGCAACTCCCAACGCGCAGGCTGCCTCCACGCTACCGCTCAACTCGACAATTTTGGTCTGGAGCTTCTGCGGACGCGAAGAGTCGTTGGCGGCGCCATTGGCCTGCGCCTCCAGCTGGGCGAAAAAGTCGGCAGTCAGGCTCACGAAGCTCGTGCCGACTGTGCGGCCGATGAGGTCTGCGCTGCTGGCGTACTGGCCCTTTTCCGGAACCTGAACCTGGAGCTTACACGCGCCGAACCCGAGCTCCGTGATCATCTCGCAGCCCGAGCCCTGAGCGGGAGCGCCTCCGTCGGCAGCAGCAGCAGCGTTGACGGCTGCATCGTGCTCCTTGACTTGGTCCCAGCCTGTGATTCCGAGATCGACGCGGCCCTGGCCGACGAACGTGGGGATGTCGGCGGCGGGCAGGAAGATGAGGGCGATGGGGAGGTTCTTGACGAGGGCGATGTCGAGGCGGTTCTCTCTCCTAAACTGGATGTCTGCGCCTTCGAGAAGGTTCAAGGTCGCTTGGTTCAATCGGCCCTCTGCAACATGGAGTGAAATGGAACGCTGGTCAGCGACAGGCAAGCTTGACTTTCGGGAAACGCAATCGGGGACTGACTTTTGGGCACTGCAAAGAGCAAGCGTCCTTCGAGGCTAAGACGGAGGAGGGGGAGGAGGAAGTTAGCATAAGGTAGTCTCTTTCAACTTGGAAAGCTTTTTGCGACTCGGCCAACACGATGCCAATGGTTCAATTGGAGTTGATTGCCTTTGCCACTTACCTGTTGACAAGTTCCATTGTTGCGATGACGCCCACGGCAGCGAGCAAGAAACTATGTCGTCAATTGACACTTGTTTTTTTCTTATAGAGACAGCGGAGGGAATAAGGGAAAAGCAAAGAAGCAAGTGAGGCCCGACTATGATTTTCCTACTAAGCAAATGTGACGACGAGTCATAACCAGTGACGGACCCGATAGACAGTATGGACGCATGTACCTTTACACATGCCGGAGCGCTAAGAGATACCTTATGGACACGACCACAAAGCGGCCGGATTTTGATCTTCTGGAGCCCTCCGAAACCGGTTGCGGGCCTGCGATCTGAATGCCTGCCACTCACATCGACAAAGCCGACCACATGCCAATTCCGGGTTCACGGACTAAGATAAGATAACCGCGATAAGCGAGATACTACAGTACTTCGTACTACTACTACTACCTACCATACTACGACCCTACATACGTCAGGGCCTTGGACTGTGGTCTGTCTGCATCTGTCAGGGACCAACACACCCCGGACAATGGACCTGACATGTGCAAGTCCGAGTTGTAGCGCGTGTGACAAGCCGAGTGCTATATGTAGTGGTACATACTAGTAATAGGTGATCCTGGGCTTGCGGTGCTACTGAAAGGCAAAGAGAATCAAATGCGAGAATCAAACTTCAATTATTAAACATGATAATACTAACAAAGGGTTTCAATTATCTTAGTGTGTAACATTTATTACTTGTATAGCAATCAGTACTAAACCTATATACCAGGCAGACATACTTCGATGTATCGGCGCTTATAGCAGTATTTATATCGTGCCCCAAAGAAACATCGTGCCGTCTACTGTACCAGGCCAACGTCTTCGCGCAGGAGACGCCATTGAAGACAAGCAAGCGGGCGATTCCCAGGGCTTGGCCTGGGAATTGGCACACTCAGGTTCCTTTCGACAACAAAGGGCAAACAAAACAATGCCGGTACACCGGCCAACATCTTCTGCTGCTGCGCAGTGGGCTCTTCGCCATAACCATTCTACCATCCAATGCTCGGGAGAGAAAACAATAAGAAAGACATATGCGCTGCGACCAGCTCCGCTCTAGAAGACGAAAATGAACATCTCAATAATGCGCCGCGCTCTTCATGGTGCCATTGTACTCAATGTGAAAAGGGGGGGAAAGATCTTTCAAGTAAAATGTCTGGAGCCATAGCTGAGAGCTGGACAAGACTCTTCTTCTTCCTCTTCTTCTTTTCTTGCTTCTTTTTTTTTCCTGCTTCTTCTTCTAACCACCTCCATTAGCCTCCCCCAAAAGAACTCGATTGGGATTTAAAATGCAGGCCCTAGGCCGTTGCGCGACTGTCGTTTGCTGAAGCGGTTCCTTTTCGCCGGCGTCGGGTCCTCCAAGGGTGCTTGGCCTTTGCTCAAATGGCCACGAGAAGGTCGGTCGTTGGCTGAGAAGCCATCTGCGGTATTCCCTCTGCCGACCAGAGTGCTGGATGGTGTCGACACCGTTGAAGACATCTCGCCAAATGCGGCATCAGACGCCATGTTTTGCGATAATGCCAAATCTCTGGCCCTCTCTAGGCTCTCCACCCACTCTTCGGCAAACGCGAGATCGCCCCCCGAGCTGGACGCAGACTTGGTTTCTTCAAAAGTGAAATGCTGACCGCCCTGTAAAGTTGATGAGATTCAAGGTCAAGAAATCAAGCGATAGCGAAGAACTTACTGTGTCCAGACACCACACATATTGGCCTTTGGCATCCTGATGAGTTTTCCAGGTTGTGTCGGGAGCCAGCAGCGACAGCTCCTGTTTTGCCCTCTTTTCTTCGCCACCCGCTGGAGCCAGCAGGATGCGGCCGCTCGAGGTCACCATGACCAGTCGCTGGCGCTTCTTGGTTGTGCTTCCGCCAAAGAATCGAGCAAGCTTCCTATGGCCCTCATCAGACCCTTTCCCGTTGGATCCATTGGGTATTGGTGCGGAAAGGACCATCAGGTCGCCAAGCTTCAAGATGCGCTCGTTGTTTCTTGTGAGCACCGGAGACCATTCGATGTCCAGTTGTGTGGGAGGAGGCAGTTCGGTGATGAGGCGGGCGGGTCGGCTACCGCCGTTTGTCGGATTGCTGGGCGGGTTGTTTGGCGGCTGCGTTCGGGAATTGGTGCTGGGGCTTGTTGAGAAGTTGTTGAGCTGGATGATGTTTGGCTCTTGGGCCGGCGGGACATATGGTCGCAGCCTTGGAGCCTTTGACCTCCACAGGGGTCTTCCAAATGGCTGGCCGTTGAAGAACTCGTGGTTCTTGATATGCTCTATGGTGAGCCTCCTGGCCGGGTCGAGAACAAGGCATCGCTCCACCAGGTCGCGCGCCGCAGGGGGGAACCCTTGAGGGAATTCGTATTCCAAGTTGACGATTTTCTGAAAGGTCAAATACTCGCTTCCAGCCTTAAAAGGTGGCCGTCCAGCCAGCAGCTGATAGATAATACAGCCAAAAGCCCAAAGGTCACTAGCCTTGCAAGCATTCTTATGCGTGAGTAGCTCGGGGCTTACGTACTCGGCCGTGCCGACAAAGGATGCGGCGCGGCCGTCGTCCCCGTTCCTATTGTCCGCATCCAGCCCATCGGTATTGTCTGAGTTGGCCTCCGGGTTGGTTCGAGGGTCGGGGAGCAGTCTGGCGGTGCCGAAGTCTGTGATCTTGACGTGCATCTGATCATCGAGCAGTACGTTTTCTGGCTTCAGGTCACGGTGAATGACGCCGCGAGAGTGCATGTACTCGATGGCGTCGAGAATCTGTGCCCCGTAGTATCTCGTGCATTCAACATCGAAGGTGCCGGTCCGCTTCAGCACGCCGAGCAGCTCGCCGCCATTGCACAGATCAAGCACGTAGTAGAGGGACGTCTCATCCTGAAACGTATAGTAAAGGCGAACGATGCCAGGGTGCTCGGTCAAGCGATTCAAGGTGTTCTTTTCGATATTGACGTATTTGATCTTCTTCTCCTTGATGATGTGTCTCTTTTCTAATACCTTGATGGCGTACTCCTTTAGGGTCTGGCGGTCGGTCGCCAGGTATACTGTGCTGTACGAGCCCTCCCCGAGCACCCGTCCAAAGGCAAAGTCTCGCACTCCTTTTTTGATCTGTCGAACGACCGGACGGCCGCTTTTGTCGAGCTCGCGGCGTACGCCCACGGCAGCGCCGCGGTCTTTCCACTCCTCGCTCGTTGTCGGGACAGGAGCATCGCCCGCGAACGGCTGCGGTTTGGAAGATGAGGTAGGGTTCCCTTCTCGCTGAGATGCCTGTCGTGAAACCGAGGGCTGGGAGTGCTGGTAGGAGCGTGACGACCCCCTTGTGCTGGGTTCTCGGCCAAGGTATTGGGTCGCTGGGGCAGGTGACGCGAAGTCGGAGGCCGCAGCTGGTGCTTCGGATAGGTTCACCCGCAGGCCATCTGAGGAATGCAGCGTGCGTGGCGGTTGCGAAGCGTCTCTGGGGGCGTATGCTGCTGGGGGTGCCGGGCTTGCGTCGACATCGTCGGGCGGCGCAGAGGGCTTCGGGTCGTCGTGGAGAGCATCGGTGGAATCGTCTGGGTTCGCTATTCGCAGTCCTCCGAGAGCCTGAGAAAGACTCAGGTCCCCATTCATCTTGACGGTCAAGGAGCACGGGATGCTCCTTGGGGATGGGCGGGCGGACTCCCTATGAAACAGGGTGACGATAAACAACCAGAGTGAGCCGCAGCCAGCACGGGCAACCGTGTGCTAAGTCGTTTCTAGCTTGCTGCGTTCGTTAATGCAGTGGGTTCACCTCCCTTCATCTGAAGCAGAGGTACATGCTACCTCTAACTCCTTGTAGGAGAGATGAAGAGTATTAGGTAAGCAAGGCGTAGCGGACTTGGCTTCCGGAATAGTACCTCATATATACTAGTATGAAAGATAAATTATGATTTTTTTAACAAGAAACATTTTCTAATATTAATTTTTATTTTATTCTATTAAGATTATATATATATTTATTTATTTTTTTAATCTATCTATAGTTAAGCTAAATAGTATATAAGGTAGAAAATTTAGAACCTTGTTTTTATAAAAATACTTAGATAATCAAACTTCTTAGATCTTGAAAGAGACCTCAATAATTGCTTATTATCGACAAGTACCTACTCCGTATGTACCTCTACGTAGGCGCGTGGTACCTAAGCCCGGTGCTAGTCTCATGTGAGCGAGCCCCTCCTCAGGCTGGCAGCAGTTATTCCACCCCTAAAGTCCCCCCTGCTCTAATACTACATATTACCTACTACTACGACACCTTGCGCACGCTACGTGAGGAATCTCAACATTTACATGCGTCCCCCGCCATAGAAGCAGCCAACTTGTGCCTTTTGCGACCGAATCTCAAGACACTTGTTAGAATGAAAGATCCCTTCTTCATTCCGCCGATACCATGGCTCTCCGAGCTGGTGCAGCCGTGGTGTGACCGCTACAACCTTCCTACGCTGCCACGGCACATCCACGAAGTCCTCCTGTCCGCGCTCTTCTATTCGGTCATCTTCTGGCCCGTTTCGCCGATACTGTCGAGATTGCTGGCACCTCAGCACTACAATAAGCTATCTCGCAAGAGACGGCTGAACTGGGACGCCCACGTCGTGTCTTTCATCCAAAGCACATTGATCAATGTCATCGCCATCTGGGTCATGTTTGTGGATGAGGAAAGGAAGAATATGGACTGGGAAGAGAGGGTATGGGGCTATACTGGTGCCGCCGGCATGGTCCAGGCCTTGGCTGCTGGGTATTTCGTCTGGGATCTGTTTGTGACCAGCTTCAACCTCGACGTCTTTGGGCTGGGAACTCTGGCGCACGCCATCGCGGCTCTCCTAGTTTATACCCTTGGATTCGTACGTTGCTCCTTCAAGATGGTTGTGTGCTCATTCTTTTCCGAACCTTTTACTGACTTGTGCCCAGCGCCCCCTCGTCAACTATTACGGATGCGTCTTCATACTTTGGGAGCTTTCCACGCCTTTCCTCAACATTCACTGGTTCTTCGACAAGGTGAACATGACTGGGTCCCGCGCTCAGCTGTACAACGGCATCCTTCTGCTCTTCAGCTTCTTCTCTTGCCGGCTCATCTATGGCACCTTCCAGTCGTTTTGCGTGATGAGGGACATGTGGGCTGCCGTCAATGCTCACCCGACGAAAGCCTCAATTGCCCAGTCACCTGTCATGGAATTCGCGACGCAGGAATCCACCGTCCAGGCCTGGCTCGCCATCTCCTATGTCCTTTCGAACCTGACGCTCAACTCGCTCAACTTTTACTGGTTCATCATGATGATACGGGCTGTCCTCAAGCGCTTCACGCCCAACGAGAAGATCGCTCTCACCGAGGTTGAAGTGGACTTGTCGTCGGTTGCCACTGGCGTGTCTCTGGGCTCGGGGGTGGAGCGTCGGAAGCAGGACAAGTCTTGAAGTCGGGACATCTGATTTGGCTCGGTTTGCGCGTGGCTCTTCTGATTTTTGTCACTTGTAACGTTATGAGGGCGCTCTGTGTCATGCGGCGGCGGCGTGGTGCAGCGGTCAGGCGACCTAGTACTGGAAGGGCACGGGCATGATGCGCCATGCTATCAAATGCCGTTGGGCGCATCATGCCGGTGCAGTTTGTGGGGATATATTGTGTCGTCGTTGGATTTTTGTTCAATCATGTTTATGGAAATGTTTCACGACGGTTTTTCTTTCTTTTTTGGCTTGCATCGGGAGTGGCAGGATCAGCAGCATAACACATATATACACTAGACTAATAAACACAATATACTTGCACATCAAGTACATCTTTCTCACAAATACTCGGCGGGTTGACTAATGGCCGGGCCACTAGGCCTCCGCCTCTCTCTACGAGAGAGGCGGGAACCTAACTTGTATCCGTCGTCAATGCGTATCCCACTTTTTACACTTTAATAGACTATTTAGCTAGTTAATAAAATTAATAAAAATATAGAAAAAATATCTTAATAAGCTTTATATACTTAAATAACTATATAGAATTTTTTAGCTATTTTTATCTATTACTTAATTTTAAAATAAATCTTAAATAAAATATATAAAGTTTTTTCTCTTACTTTTACCCTATATATATAAAGAGAAATTATAGTATAAAAATCTAATTCTTTAAATAACTAGCTTAATAAAATTAAAAACTATATAGTATTATATATTTTCTAAAACTAGATTTTATAAAGAATTTAATTATATATATATTATTTTTATATATATCTTATATAATTTAATAATATATTTATAAACTTATTATAATACTAGTATATTATATAAGAAAAGAAATCTTATTAAAAGTAAAAATATTAATAAAATTCTATATAAAATCTAGTTTATAAAAATATATAATTTATATATATATATAAGCTTAATAAGCTTATAAATTAAGGATTTAAAATTTATTAATTTATAAATAATTATATAAGCTATATTATATAAGCTAAAATTTTAAAAATATTTTTTTATTATATAATATTATATAATATATTTAAAATATAATTTATAGCCTTTTATAATAGCTAGTTATTTAAATATAAATAAATAAACTTAAAGTATTCCTTTTTATATATAAAAGTCTGTTAAGGTAAAGGGAGATTATAGTGTAAAATTTAATAAAAAATTCTACCTTATTTTTTAAAAGAATTAATAAAAAAATAGAATAGTAAGATTATTTTTTAAAAATATTTTTAAAAAATAATTTAATAAGTTATCTACTATTAATGTTATTTTTAGGCTGATTACTAATTAGTTAGTAGAGTACTTTATTATTAAAGCTATGATAGTAGGATACGCATTAACGATAGATATGAATTAGGTTCCCGCCTCTCTCGTAGAGAGAGGTGGGGGCCTAGTCAGGGCCGCTTACTAGTCAACCCGCCGAGTATATCTATAAATTTATGATATCTATATATAGGCAAGAACAGATATTAATAGATGGAGTTGTGCAGGAGCGCCAAATCACAATCTAATACCTGATATACTTGATATCCCGCCCTGCTTAATTCGAAACAGCGTCTTACTCCTTCGTCCTCCCGCTGTCTTACCCTCGCCCCTCCGCTACGACTAAGCCGGGATGGTCGTATATAATCCAAGCGACGCGCTTGGGTTCCCACTAAAACACTTCCATCTCCGTCATCCATACTGTACGATACCCGTCGGGAGCAGCGCATCGCTATTCCGGGAATGGCCTAGGCAGGCCGCTAGAGCGCTGCATCCTTACCTGACTTGTCAGTCATGCTCCGTCGTCCGTGTCTTGTCACTTCTTCTGATCCCGATATCCACAGCTGTCTGCTGGAGCCGGTCGCCCATCCGCTCTGAGACGTCGCCGCAACCATGAACTCGGCCTACGGCTCCTCGGAGCTGCCCCGGCAGCTTCCTCTCGGAGGCCACGGAGCCCACGGGAGCCACGGCTCGATGCCGTCCCTCATCCCGCCCATCGTCAGCGCCAGCTCGGCCTCCAACTCGGCCTCGCTCGACCATCTCTACCATCACCAGCAGCCGCCGCCGCGTCTCCCGCTCGGCGCCGTCCCCCAGTCTCCGATCCAGAGCCAGCCTCCTCCACACCTGCATCCTCAGTCGCACCACTTCCAGCTTCACCCGGGCCACGGCCACCACCAGCAGCCGCACCACGAGCGCGAACACCATCTGCCTCCGCCAGTAGCCAGCTACAGCACACATTCACAACATCTCCAGCATGACCCGTTGCCGCTGCGGCTGGACTCGTCCCAGTCCGGCCATCCGGGTGCTGCTGAGCACAGGGAACACTCCCACCACGTGCTAGACGATTCATCTAGATCTCATGAGCCGTATCCGAGCATGGGTTCCGGTGCCTTGGTTCACTCTGAGTCGCAACAGACTGCGTCGGCGAACCTGCTTTTGCCCATCTCCAAGGTCGACGAGGCCACGGGTCGGAGGTACCAGTAAGTTTGCCGTAACGCGTTGGTTGCTCTTTGATGTGGAACGCAGCTGACCCAGCCTCGCAGCCTCGATGTTGTCCAGCAGCCTCGACGCGCCCGCATGTGCGGCTTCGGTGACAAGGTAACCATTGCTCTTCTGCGACGACGTCTTGTAGATCGCTCACATCTACATCTACACAGGATCGACGACCGATAACACCACCACCGTGCGTGCGACTTATCATCACCGACCTCGCTACCGGAAAGGAGATTGACTGCAAGTATGTGTGAATGCATCTGTTCGCTCCTGCATCTCCCCAAGAAGACAGCTAACCCATGTGCTTCAGTGACATTGACCATTCCATGTTTGTGCTCAACGTTGATCTCTGGAACGAGGACGGCACCCGCGAAGTCAATCTCGTCCGCTCCTCCACAAGCAGTAGCCCATCCGTCTCGTCCACAGTGACGTACCCATATGCATCGATTACTGTTGGAGAGAGCTCACATGCGCCGTATGGGCAAAGCGTCCCCCCCACGAGCCGTGACGCACCTTATGGCGTGTCACAGAATGCCAACTATGCTCCGGAATATCAGACTCAGCCTAGCTACTCTCAGTGTGAGTCCATCTCCAACGATGCCTATTGTTTTCTACAGATTGCTAATCATAGAGTCCGACAGCCTCTGCTGCCTACCCTCCGGGCGGCACATACGGTCCGCCACAACAGTATTTCCCACAGCATCAGGCATACCGCACAGAGACAGGCCCTCCTGCCGGAGTACAAACGTCCGTGGGAGGTTTCAGAGGATATATGCAGGACCAAAACGCCCTGACTAAGATGGCCGTCGTGGGCGGGCAGCCCCAGGGGATGTTCACCAGAAACCTCATTGGGAGTCTGGCCGCAAGCGCATTCCGCCTCACCGATACGTCGGAGCATCTGGGCATCTGGTTTGTCTTGCAAGACCTGAGTGTCCGAACCGAGGGACCATTCCGGTAAGCACCCCCCCTTTTTCCCCTCTCTGTCACGTCAGAGATTAGCTCTGCGCAAGTTGGAGGATGCTAATTTTGCCTGCACAGCTTGAGATTCTCCTTTGTCAACGTCGGCCCCGTTGCGGGACAGAATGGCGCCAAGGTCAACACGGGAAGGGCCCCGATATTGGCGTCGTGCTTCAGCGAGGTCTTTAATGTTTATTCAGCCAAGAAGTTCCCCGGAGTCTGCGAGAGCACGCCGCTCAGCAAGACGTTTGCGGCGCAGGGCATCAAGATTCCGATCCGCAAGGACGCGAACCTCAAAGGGGGAGACGGCGAGGACGATTACGGCGATTAGCACTCGCCTCTTGGCGACCAGCAAGGCTGTCGATTCAGTCCCTTTTGACTCCCGACAGTCTCGATAGCAATGCAAAATGCTCAAAAGGTGCTAAGGAGGGGTTTTCTTATACCAAGAAGAGCTTGGGATTTAATGGTGCAAGGCTTCGGATACCAGGATACGGGCATTGGGAATACACGCATGGATATTGACATAGGATTATTCATTACTTTGGCTTTGCTTTTGCTATTCTATTCGTTTTCTCCAGGGCCCGCATGCCGTACCGTGAACTAACCGCCGTCTACAGACCAAAACTATCGAGCAATGAAGCAGCGTCGGGTTCGTGAAACGTTGATGGCGGCGGTGCAGGGCGCTTGTCCTGCTCCCGCTCGTTCATGAATTTGGCGTGGAGCTCGGATGTATGCATATCGTTGACCACAAGCGAGCTTCGCCGTCTTAACAGCGTCAATGGGTTCATGTCGCCTCCAAGCTTAGTCTTCGTTTGCTGTTGGAATTCCCATGTTCGAACTGTCGATTTCATTCCTCTCGTTAGCCTCTCCTACCAAACCTTTATAACGAAACGCAGAATTGAAATCAAGATATGCATACCTAAACTCAGACCTAGGAGGTCACAGCCCATTCGATCGTAGAGCTTTGCGCTATGGAGGACAAACTCCCACTCCGCTTTCGGCGACACCTTGGACGCTCCTCGCAGCGTCTGTAGTGTTTGTTGTCGCAGCTGAGCATAGAGAACAACCAGGGCAGGATCGTCAGTCAAGAAAGACCGCGATTTAAGATCCGGCGAAGAAGGTGTCTCGAGGAGCGTGTATACAGGAGTCTTGATAGCAGCAGTATGTTAGCCCCTGGACCTCCTTTGCGAGCTTGATAGCAATCTTGAGGGATGATACTCACAACAAGCGCTCTTACTGCCATATCTTTTCTTCCCAGCATCCAGAATGCCCAAGAAGCGAGCCAGCGATTCCCCTCACGCGCTGCAACTGACAAGACCTCCTCCTGCAAGAGTTTCCGCAGCACAGGCCCGCCGTTGCCCTCATAGACGCGCGTGATGGCGATGGCCAGCTGAAGGTCCTTCAATTGCCGGAGACAGACCTCGACGGCACTGTCCAGTCGATCAGCTAACAGAAAGAAGGCGGCCGCATACTCTGTTGCTTGTTAGTGATCAACACGTCGTGAAAATCCTCGTGACTAAACTTACTGAACCGCCGCTTGCTCAACAGCGCATATGCATTCTTCAGGGCAGCTGTGCGCCATCTTGGCTCGTCGAAATCGTGAGCCAGGAATTTCTGAGTGTTAGCTTGTTCTTTGTCTCCCGCGGCCATTCGCCAGAGCCCCTGCAGTATCGTCTTCTTGCGAAGTGCTATGTAGAACAGGCTGCATTCCACTGGGCTCCGGTTTCCGTTCTTTGTGTATTCATTTCTTGCGACGGCCTCGAATTGCCGATGCTATACAATGTTAGCCCTTCGGCACTGCAAACGTTTTTCATATCACATACCAAATGATGCGTATCGGTGAGCCACATGAAAATTCCGCTTTCTCGAGCGTGCTCCCAGAGCAAAACGTTGTGGTTCTGGCGGGACACAAAATCCGAAAGGATATCTTGACTGTCCGAGTGGTATGCCCAGTTGATTTCTCGCCATGAGAGCTGTATCTCGTTGGTGCGGCCTTTCCGAAGCGCGTGCTGTCTGAAGAACAGCATAAACCGGGCTCCATTTTCATCGATGGAACGACGCTCTCGCTCTACCAGTGCTACGCACTCGATGATATCTGCCAATTGAATCTGCTCGTGGCCGGAGAGCTGGGGTATCCCCAACCGAGTGAGCTTTTCGTTGATCGAAGTGGCAACCTCCTCGTTGAAAACGTCGTCGTCCTCACTCTTGGAGGGTGCATCTAGATAACTCAGTCCGGTGTTGAATTTGTGACTGCTGTTTTCCTGCACATAGAATTAGTTCATGTATGCAAGAAGATATACCAACAGGATCATACCGCGGCCGGCTCATAGAACTCTTCCAAGTCGATACCAAGATAGTCGTCCACGGACTCTCCTGGGACAAGGAACTTCAAGGTTTTATGAAGTTCTACAAGAATTCTTCGCACGAGCTTGTTCCTTCCTGCGAGAATGCATTGACTGAGGAACTGAGGGTGGAACACGGGGAGAGGTCCGTTAAATCTCTGCACTGCCTCGAAGAGATCCCATGTCCCGTCTTGACGATGAGGCAGTCTGAGATCGGCAGTAGGCGACTCGTCCATGCCGACCCGTCGATCGTAGATGAATAACTGGTTACCCGCCCCAATAAGGAGATGGCCATGAGCGAGCCATGTTGAGTCTCCAATCGGATGGGGCGTCAGATCGCGGGTGATGATCTCACGGATTGGCGCCCAGGCTGCGCCCTTGTTCAAGTAGTCAAACCTCATTTGAGACAGCAGAAGGACGCGGTATTGGAATCCAACAGCAAGTATCGACTGAGCGTCAGGGGTCGAAGTCCAATCAAGGTCCTGGATAGCATCTTGTGACTCGTAGTCCTCGTCAAACTCTAGGCGAGAGCCGCCAACATCCCATATAGCAAGTCTCGACCTATTGGAACTTACTATCGCAGCCTTCTTGAGCATACTGCCGCTAACTAATGCCGGCTCTGAGAAGTTTGTGTCCGCGTGGCACGTCGATAGCCATCCCACGGTCTTGCGTCCCGGGTCGACACGCGCCGTCCAAAGCTCGATTCGACCGGTATGAGTACATGATATAGCGATATCCCGGGCAAAGATGTCGAGAAACTCGGATGATATGGGACCAGAGCCAGCGGGATCAACCGGGAGGACATACTTCAAGTCTTCGGCCAATTTGAGGTCAACCAGACAAAACTGCTCGATGTCCGCACCAAGGGTGCTCGTTGGCTCCTTGATGTAGTTCGGAAGACTGAGCTGCCAGACGATCCCGCGCCCCTTGGAGGTAATCATGGCGATATGCGCGGTTGTGTAGTGCACATGCTGCGGCTTGGGTAAGATGATGAGACAGAGGGGGTCGCCCGAAGCCTTGTAGGTCCTACGGGCAAGTACGGCACCCTTTGAGTGCCGACAATCCCAGAGCGATATGACGTTCTCTCTGAGGAAAACGACGAACCGCCCCTGGCGAAGAACACAAATACGATGGATGTGGCCGTTCTCGGGAATAGTGCTGCGACGATTGAAAGACAGCCAGGAGGATCCCGGCCGGGTCGTCAGCGCGTGATTCCACACGATAGTCTCGCCATCCTTTGTCCTCGACACAACTGCTCGGCCGCTAAAGTTGCGCACTATCTTCCTGATCGAGGCAGAGTGGCCGGTCCATATCGTGCGGAGCAGCAGCCGTTTGTCATTAGCCGTGGGATCGAACAGATCAGCGGCGCTGCATTCGAAAATCGCTATCCTACCATCAAAAACGTGCAGCAGGATCCGCAGCTGTCCGGTTTTCCGATTGCAGTACGTTTCCACTTCCAGATGGGCGAAGTCGTCCGAGGGCAGAAGGCTAGCAAAGTTCTCCAGTTCCGGCGATGTTGTCTGCGCAATGTTGAAAATCTGGCGCTCATCCGACGAGTTACTGCCCACGTTTTCCAGAGCCCAAGCAGTCAAAAACCCCGACCGGTTCATAGCGAGGCATATCTCTGGGCTCCTGTTTGCAATGGCTACCAGATGGTCCAGTGCTACATCGTCAGTGCTACTGTCATCTGCCATTCGCTGTTCTATGGCCCTCTCCACAGAAGCAGTGAAGTCTCGCCCGTCTATGAAGCAGACAAGCCACGGATCTGGCGGACAGACATTGTCTGGCATCGACTTGGCAACATCGATCTTTCCCCAGAGCTGCCACTTCCAACCGCTTGCCGTGTCTGTGGGAATCCACACACGTACGAAGCCATCCACGCAGCTGGTATACAAAACGTTGCCTGTTGCTTGCTCCACGTGAAACGGCTTGCGCCATCTGATGCTCGTAACAACATCTGGATGGCGGAGATACGCCAGATCGAATCGGACGTCATTGGCGCCATAGGTCAAGCGGCGCCAGACTTTTGGAAGGTGGTCGTGATGGGAGAGAGAGGCGATGTAGGCAGAGTCATACGACAGTACTGCTAGTTTGCTGGCGCAAGGGAGCTTCTTCTCCCATAGGTGTTCGAGATGCTCGCCTGTGGAGAATAGGGAGAGGCAACGGCCTGCAACTAGAAGCTCTTCTGAAGCGCCCCAAGACAAGGCTGGTATTATCTCGGTGTCATCGTGCGGTATGTCAAAGGCAAATTGGAGTGCCCACTGCTGATATGTTAGCCCAGTTTGCCATGCAGATATTGGTAGTGAGATGGTGCGACCTTCAAGACATCTTCCTGTGACCCTCCCGACGGCTTGTATATCCGGACCTGCGCTATCGTTGCCACGGCGATCTTGCCCGTCAACTCGTCGATGGCTATGGCCTGCAGCGGGTCCTCATTCTCGTCGTAGATTGTCTGGACGATCGTCTGCAGGCCGTCGAGGATGGTGAACGCATTTCCGGTAACGTATGCCTGGATGGTCCAACGGGGACCATGCGGTAAGCTTGTGCGCTATCAAGCAGCAGCTTCACGGGCGACTGCGGCAGTTGGCTCTCTTACATTGAGGTGCAGGTTATTCCAATAAGCAATAGCCAGACCTTGAAGTCTTGACTGCGGCTTACCCGGCAGGACGATGCTCATGCTACTGGGATGCGAGGATCCAGCAGGCTTGCGGAAAGTTGTCCAGATGTGAGCTCGAGGCGCGAGACAGCGATCAGCATGATAGACGGCGAGCGAATGTTGAGGGAGCGTGGACGAGCGTTGGCGAGTGCTGTGAGTGCCGCGAGTGTCGCGTCTTATATGCGAAGGTCGAGCGAGGGCAGAGGGCGTTGGGACAGGCCAGGCAGAGCATGGCGCATCGCTCGGATGGAAGCTCTGCTGCGTCTGAAGTCTAAGATGCGTCTTAAAAGCACCAGGCAGGTCGATCAGGTCTAGTAGCCGCCAGTAGTGGAAGTATAACCACACGCCTCGATTACGTGTTCAGACATCAGGCAAGCCTTATAGCTTATTTCGAATGAAAAGTTTAAGGCTGGTTTTATAAGCTCGTTCGCGACAAAATTGAACATTTCTTTCCTCTTCAATTTCAGTCTTCCTTTCATTCGTTTCCTTTCTTCCGTTCTCTCCAGTAAGGCTAAAGTACCCGAGGTCTACCTACTTCCTGGCAAGGTACAGCTTGAAGTAGCCGCGCTTCGGATCAAAGTATCGCATACCTCTGTCGACTCCACCAGCTCAGGCACACAACGGCGCACAAGCTTGCTTCCCCGGGTAAAGCTCAGAAGTATCCAGTACCCGTCCCGACCTGCCTGGTTCTCCGCGACTCTAGCTCGAAACGGCCACCGCACTGCGACGACAACTCGGACTTCCCTCATTATTAGTGCAGGTATCACCCGCGGACTTCCAGATAAACCCGGCGATGCCCTCAAGCTTCCGCTGAATGCTTCCATCGGTCCAACTTCCGCAGCAAACATAGAAGGGAAAGAAAATGTCCAGCCCGTCGCAGCTCTTCCTGCTCGCCGACCACATCAAGCTGTCGCTGCTTGAGTGGAAGCGAGCCAAAGCCCTCAATCCCGACGACGACTCTCTCAGCGGTGACATCTCGCGCTCCTTCGACCAGCTCCGGAATGGCATCGCCTCGCTGGACCAGGAAAGCGCCCGCCTTCAGCAGGCCGGCGATCAAGCGTTTGTCTCCCGCCCTTGAGCTTCCAAACACATGCGCAACTACTACTGGCAGGCGGTCGTCATCGGCTTTATGTACTAACTCTTGCATTCCAACCAGGGGCGCGCAAGCCATTGCTGAATCTCTCCCGGCGCTGCACAAGCAGTTTGACGAGTTAATATCTCAGTTTCATTCCCTCTCTGGCACCTCCGCCAACTCGCCCGATGCTGCAGCCGGCGAAGAGACGGACGACCTCGCATCCTCAGCCAACAGATCCGGCCGCAAGCCCAAGACGGTGCGGTTCAGCGAAACGCCCCGGTCGCCGACCCAGGAGCTCTTCGGCCGCTACCACGACGATCCGAATGCCTCGTCGGACTCGCTGGGATACAGCGACAATGCTGCCGGGATGTCAAATCAGCAGATATACGAATACCATAATCAGATTATGCAAGAGCAAGACGAGCATCTCGATCGCCTGGGAGAGTCCATCGGCCGGCAGCGGGAGCTCAGCATGCAGATTGGCGACGAGTTAGAAAGCCACATGGCCATCCTAGACGAAGTCGACCATGTTACGAGTCGCCACCAGAGCCGAGTCGATCGAGCCAAGAGGGCTCTGGGGAAAGTTGCAAAGGGCGCTTCGGAAAACAAGCAGATGTCCATCATCTTCATCCTCATCGTCATTCTGGTGCTATTGATTGCTATTCTAAAGTGACCTCACAGAAGACGTGTCACAGCTGGATTCTTTACATAAAAGCGGCGTTGGCGTTGGCGTTGGCGTTGAGGGATTCCTGAGCGCCGAATCGTTGCCATCTCTCGGGGTGGTTTTCTTTGTTATGGCGCACAAATGATAAGTATATAGATCGCTATGGTCACCAATTCCCCTTGTTTCTATCTAAACTCCTCCGCTTCTCTTTGGGTTATCACTTCAGCACAATTTGGCTTCCATGGGTAGATGCGCTCACTCATAGTACTATATAATTAGGTATGATTGTTGGTCTTGCAATCTAGAATTCTCACAATGACGCTGTTATGTGTTTTATTTGCGCAGTGGCTTGGAAGCCAATCAGCGAATCACATCCCCCTCGTTGTCGATACCCTCAAGGCTGTCGAGGATACCACTACCCCCTAACATGCCCTTCCCCCTTCCCAGGATCTTGCCTTCGTTGCACCAAATCTCGTGGAACTTGACGCTCCTGTCACTCGACGCTACGACAATGCAGCCCTCGCGATTCTTCTGATCGTGGTTCGCTCCCTTTGTCTTTGCCGGGCCACGGGGGAAAGAGATGGCATACAGCGCTCGAAGCTCTCCTTCCTAGGGAATTGCCGCCACTTGCTTGCATTCGGGCCAGCTGAAGATGGCGATCCGGTAAGGATGCTCCGGTTCTGTGTACCCAAAGGTAGCAGCAATCTCACGTCTCGTCGATGACCAGATGAGAGACGTCACCTGAGCTGAGACCGCTATTGTGGCCAAAGCTGCGCCTGAACTTGTATGGTAGAAGTGGATGCATTTGTCGTTGGACCTACCACCAGTTGCAACCAGTCCTTCACGCCACGGGCAGAAGGCGATGGCCTTGACTGCGGCTTTGTGTATCCAACGATGCTTCTCAGCCCCAGGGCCCAGTCTCCGAATCGCTGTGGACGATGGCCTTGCAGGTCGGGCGTCGGTTGCATCTTCCTAGTTGGTAGCGTCACCTTGCCTGGGCAGGCATCCCGGCGGCATCGAGCCTCGCGTTTGGTCGGCCAAGACCTCCTGGGTGCTTGCAGTGGCCAAATGCCATCCCGGCCAGTGCGGTTTGAGTTGGACAGACTCTTGCTTCTCGGCAAGCACGCTGTCTGCATCGAAGAGGCAGCACAAGTTATCATTTCCCCCGGTTGCGAAGAGTTTCCCGTTGGGCGACCATGACAAGCCACATATCTGCTGAGTGTGTAGTGAAACCTTGGCGATGAGATATATACTTCCCGGCCATGTGTCTCGTGTGACCTCCCAGCCCATGGGCCACTCGACCGCATAGTAGTACACCACGCCAGTATCATCGCCAATGATCAAGTCCTCAGTCTGCACGGTGATTCCTGGGTTGAATGGGTTTCTGGAGGGTCTCAGGGTCGTTATCGGGCGCCAACTCACGCAAGACACCGGAAAGGGCTGTTGCACCTGGAAGCGCGGAAGGCCGTCATAAGTAGACTTGAGCACCAACGTTCCGTCTGAACGTCCTATGGCTAGGATGCATTTCCCTCCTTGGACGGACGAGAAAGCAACCGACGTTAGCCACACATGGGACGCAGCAGATCCATGCATAGCCCGAGGCCCTGACCCCTTAGACCAGATGTACAAAACGTTTCCTAGGCCAACTGCAAGCTTCTGGCAGCTGGGCGAATATGCTAGAACAGAGCAGTAGAAATCATCGCGCAGATCGGGGGCATCGAGGACTCTTTTGAATGTCAGTTAGCTTGGTGAGTCATAGTTGTAAGTCAGAGAGAAGATTGAAATACCTGAAAGGAGCTGTAGGGAGAGAGCGCCTTGGCAATGCATTGCCATCGCCTGGAATGCCAAAAGATGAATCAATATTTGCTTCTCGCAGTGGGCATTGTGGATTGGCTTCATACCGAGGGGTGCACGTAGATCGTCGTCATCAGTACTCTGGGCCCATGAACCATGCTCCAGGTCTGCAAGCAAGGGCATTGCCCGAATCGGAGAATCAGGGGTTGTAGATCTGCTACAGGTAAACTCCAGTACGCGGCGAACACGGTCAATCTTGAGGGCAGATGCAACGCGGCCATGGTAGAATTGCAAGTCATCGCGGCGGCTGGGTCTCATCGTACCCACAGACATGGTAAAGAGGCGAGCCGGTGTCACGCCTCGAGGGTTTCGACGATGGTTGCGGTCCATCTCGGGTGTTCCGGGTGCCACACCGCCGACCATCCATACATTTCCCTGGCTGGGTTGTCTGGCGCCCGAGGGACTATTCGATGGTACCACGCTCCTCACTATAAGTACCAAATTAGCAAGTCGACGCTCTCAGCTGTGTGATCCCGTTTTCTGAAGGGGGAACAACCTTGGCTGCGAGCATGGCCAACTCGTGCCATGCGGGCATTGTCCGGCGCACGTGTTGGAGAGCGCTGAGGTGTTGAGTACGGAGCCGAAGAGGCCCCCTTTCTTCTCAATAGCTTCTCAGCAGGCGAGAGATCCTGGAGGGCCTTTGTAGTCTGGTACACCTGCTTGCTCGACTTGTCACTATCCCGTTGAGGCACAAATCTATCCGGGCTGCGTAGGCCCCCCGCATCGCATCTCTGCTGGGCGAGTGCCGTCTTTGCCCCATCTTTGCTGCCGGGCGAGAGGTTCAGCTGCTGCGGGCTCCACGCAACAATTGGTTGATAATCTGCCGGGCCCGGGCACGACTTCCGCTTCAACTTGGAGAGACGTGATGGCGCCTCCGTCTTTGGCCGTCCGGCTGACAACTCTAGGCCATGACGGTATCCATGGCCCCCAACGTGCGAAACAGGACTGGAATGGGCGTGGCGTGGTGAGTCTGTAGAGGAGCCGTCGAGTGAGCCATATCCAGAATCAGATCTAGGGAATAGGCAGGTGACATTTGCCGCGTTCCCGCCCTCATGCCGATCATAGGCGGGATTCTTCGTCGTCACGTACTCGAGGACCGTGGAAGAAGGCATGGCACAAATCAACCACTGTAAGCAGGCCCACTGGCCGCGACCCCCAGTCCTGCCCGGCTAAATCAGGTGAAGCCGACGTTGTATAGATGATACGGCCCAGGGGACGACGCATGGAACGAAAGATTGCGGTTCTGAGGGCCGGCCGAGATCCAGTTCATCGAATAACGGGATGTGTAACAATACAAGGCTGTGAAGTTCGGATCGCCCCAGCCGACCACTGGTCAGTTCAGCATCCTACGCGATACTGCGTAGACGGCACAAGATATCTCTGGTGGAGGTGGCTCATAGGAGAAGAGGAGAGGTTGCGGCCAATGAGGCAGAAACATGATGCCCCCCAAACAGATAGAGTTGACCGGACGGGCGCTCCTCTTGCCTTCCACGCCGGCCAATGTTGCATCACGTCTGCAGCTGCGTCTTCCGTCGTTGATTGCACCAGGGAGCGCTTGCCCATGATACTGGCGGTTCTGGTCACATAGTAGTAGGTAGGATATGAGGGGGAGATAGTAGTGTCCTTCTCGGAGGCTAGCTGGAGACGGAAGGTAAGTGCGTTCTGGTCAACGGTGATAGGGCGAGGAGATTGGTAGTAGATGACAGCCCGATAGAAGACGGGGATCAGGCGACGCGTCTGCTCTCATGGCGACTGCAAGCACTAAATGTCGCATATAGGGCCTACTTTATGTCGTTCATTGCTCTATACATAGGTAGGTAGACAAGCAGATGGCAGGTGGTGAGGTGGTTGCAGAGGTGGTTGCGAGCAAGCTGTCCATGTGGAGTGATAGCGACTTCAGGTTAGGTAAGTTACATAAGGGCAGTACGATATAACGCTCCCAGTTGCTCTACCTGCTTGCCAACGAGATAATCATCTCTCGTTCGACTGTACCTACGCTTTCTATTTGACTCCGATCAGTAATATTTCTGCAAGCTACCAGATAGAGAATGATGCCATGCTTACCTCGTTCCTACCTACCCAGACGGCGAGGATTATACCGCCTCCAAGCAGTAAGGTACTGGTTATCTCGTAGGAACGGTAGTTTCAATAATAAGCGCCGGGTTGGCAACCTCGATTGTAAATTAGATTAGACGTTACAGGGTTGCGCGAAGTGCTATTCGACCCCCCGCTTCACGGCTTGATTCACGGAGCAATGATTTTACCTTAATTACTAGGTTATTACTTGCCTGTAACTCGATGCTGATTCGTGCGGCCAGACTTTCAAGCTTATTCTCCGCCTGACACAGGAGAGGTCCGGCTAGCAAGCGACGACGATTCCCCATCAGGTAGGTCACAGCAGCAGATAGTCAGATCACGTTAGCGAATCTGTCTCTTTCGAGAAGCGCATGCTCCCGGTCCATATCGGCGTGTGACGGGGGAATGCCGGGCACTGGCTAGCGGTGTTTCATCTCATCTCACATACTGGGACCTACTGTATCTTCACGTTGCGGCACCTGTGCCCTATCACGACCATCGGATCTGTCCTGGGCATCGCGCCGTTGGGTCTTCAATCTGGATTTCTCACGATCGCCTCCATAGCAGGATTTCCAACATGATCGTGTTTGTGCGTGGATGTGCTCTCATACCTACCTTACCCATGGGTCGCTGTGTCATTTGATGGAGGTTAGTACTTGGGGCATGGAATGAAGGCACGGTCAGGTAGAGGCGGGTATCCAAGCCACACGCTCGAATGAAGACGTAACATCGGCACATGTTTGAAGAAAGAAACCCAGAGATGGATGTCCAAAGAGAAAACTGCTTTGGGCAGCAAAACGGGATGTCATGCTCCGCAGAGCAACCCCACGATGCGACTCTCCCATGATAGGACATGTATGCGCTTGCGTAGGAAGCGGTATATCCGCTTGTGCGAACCGCCATCGACGGGCACTTGAGCTCCTCGGAGGCCAAATCTACCTACTCCCACCTTCAGTATAAGCTTACCTACCTTATTGAAGCCTGGACCTGCTCGTACGAGTAAAGCTCAGTATGGCGTAGGTTGCGTCAGCTGGAGATGCAGGGGATAGACGTTCGTCTTCCCTTGGCCTCGGAGCCTTATCCAGGCAGGCCCGCAGTACCCCAGAATCTCCTTCCAGAAGCGGCAAAAAGTCCAACTGGCCTCGTCCTCCTCGGCGCGATACCAGTACAGCAGGTAAGGCGAGGGATTATCAGAGACATCGACTCTGGCCAGCTGCGGGCCCCCAAGGCTGATGATGGATCATGTATCACGCCCGCAGGCGCAAATGTCCAGCAGATAGCAGAGCCGCCCGAAATGCCACGTTGTAGGCGCATCACCCATCACGCCAATGACGACGACCTCTATCTCTATGTGTGTCTGCAGATATCGCTCCCGCCTTCGCGAGGCGTCATCAGATGCTGAAGGTGCAGAGGGGAGGGACCCTTCATGCGCCTAACTCGTCCGATCGATGAGACACTACCTTGGTATCTTGGGCACATGGCGGCCTTCCGCAATCTGTCCGTGCTTCTCAGGCCGGCCTCGCGTGCCTGGCAGTTCCACCCCTGATGGCGTTCAGCCCCCCGCGCAAGCCAAGCATCCCCGGTTCCCAGGAACCTATGCATATCAGAGGAACCGGGTTCTCACTACCACCATTCGCAACGTTGCTAGACTTGGCGAAGTATGCCTTCATTAGGTACTCCCTAACGACCCCGAGCCAATCACGGCTGCCCTCCGGCCACCTCGCTCTGGCTCATGCCCCGGATATGCTATGTACTGCTCTGGTCTGGAGAATCTGACGGTTGACGGCTGCTGGAAATTCGACCACGGGGACAGGGGTGGCATGCCTCCAGTGTCACGGGCTTGACGAGACTCCAGGGCATAACGTTGCCACCGATTCTCTCGAGTAATGCCATCTGCAAAGCATGGGTTTGCCAAGAGCATACAGGGGGGGGGGGGGGGGTAATGTGGAAGTGAGCCTCATGCTCTATAGAGAAGCTCAACTTCAAGTCGCTGCTGTCCATGGATATAAGTATGCCTGGCTTCCCTTTGATGCCCCAGACGAAAGATCATCCCGCAGTGGCATCAGTAAAAGACTCAAAGAGCAGCACAATCACCTTTGCATACAGTCTCTTGTACTACACGACAACCCAATTGCTTCGTCATGTTGAGCTTCCTCGGCAAGTCCGTGGCCCTGCTGGCTGCGCTGCAGGCTACTCTCATCTCTGCGAGCCCCCTGGCCACAAACCAACACTCCGTTGAGAAGAGAGCTAGTGGATCTGTGAATGCTGTCTACTTCACAAACTGGTGAGTGCACCACCCAAGCAGACGAAAAACCTCCAAAACAACTTCAGTTGCTGACTATCGGTGGTAAAAGGGGCATCTACGGACGCAACTTCCAGCCTGCGGATTTGGTGGCGTCGGATATCACCCATGTCATCTACTCGTTCATGAACCTCCAAGCGGACGGCACTGTGTAAGTTCAGCATCCTAGACTGAACAAGTCCTCTGCAATGCTCCGCAGTTACTGATGACCTTGCAGTGTCTCCAGTGATACCTACGCTGATGCTGAGAAGCATTATGCTGATGATTGTATGAACGCCCGAGCCCTTCACTGTCTGTTGATCCATGCCACGACTGTATGCTAACAAACTCATTAGCTTGGAATGACGTTGGCACCAACATCTACGGTTGCGCCAAGCAGCTGTTCAAGTTGAAGAAGGCCAACCGAAACCTCAAGGTTATGCTTTCCATCGGTGGCTGGACCTACTCCACCAACTTCGCCTCCGCAGCAAGCACGGATGCGAACCGAAAGAGATTCGCATCAACTGCCATTACATTCATGAAGGACTGGGGCTTCGACGGCATTGACATCGACTGGGAATACCCTGCCGACAGCACCCAAGCCTCCAACATGATTCTTCTGCTGAAGGAAATCCGATCTCAGCTCGACGCCTATGCCGCAGCACACGCCCCTGGCTACCACTTCCTTCTCTCCATCGCTGCCCCAGCCGGCGAGGTGAACTACTCAGTCCTGCGCCTGGCTGATCTCGGCCAAGTCCTCGACTATGTTAACCTCATGGCCTACGACTACGCCGGATCTTGGAGCAACGCCTCCGGGCACGACGCCAACCTGTATGCCAACCCGCAGAACCCCAACGCTACGCCCTTCAACACCGATGATGCTGTCAAGGCCTACATCAAGGGAGGTGTTCCTGCGAACAAGATCGTCCTTGGCATGCCCATCTATGGCCGATCCTTTGAGGCCACCTCTGGCATTGGCCAGCCTTACAGCGGAATCGGATCTGGAAGCTGGGAGAGCGGTGTCTGGGACTATAAGGCCCTCCCCAAGTCCGGCGCTACCGTCCAGTATGATGACGTTGCGAAGGCTTCCTACAGCTACGACCCGAGCACCAAGGAGCTCATCTCCTTCGACACCCCCGACATAATCAACACCAAGGTGTCCTACCTCAAGTCACTTGGCCTGGGCGGCAGCATGTTCTGGGAGGCCTCAGCCGACAAGAAGGGAGCTGACTCGTTGATTGGAACAAGCCACAAGGCTCTTGGATCCTTGGACTCGACTCAGAACCTGCTGAGCTACCCCGACTCCCAGTATGACAACCTCAGGAACGGACTCATCTGAACGATTTCTTTTTGATGGCTATGGCGGCACAGGGGATTTTGCAGGAGGGCGGCTCTGGTAGGAGCAATTCATCATCGTAGATAGTTACACATATATCACTGTACATAGGCACACACGTATATACAGGCGGGTAGGAGAAGACCTACTAACCTAGCTTAGTCGATTTAGTTGAGTTTAGAATAGCAATCACCATCTATATCTTTATTACCTTATGCTACGGTGGAATCTGTGATTGAACCCAAGAGGAGCGGCTTGGATAACTTGGCAGGATCGAGAAACGTAGACGTCGAAAGCTTGATATGTTTCCGACTGTACAGTCGAGGATTGTATGGATGGATTTGACTTGACTGTAATATACTTGAGGCTTCTTGTCTTGCCTGAGTTTGACGTTACTAACGCTGCGCCAGACAGACTGTGATGAAAGGGAATCCTTTGCAGCCCTCACACTGTTCGTTGCTCAATTGCCAATGCTATCAGCTGACTGTTTCCGAAATGAAAAAGCAAGCCTTTGATATCGCTCAGAGACTTCTGAACTATACCCCGGATTTGCTCGCTTCGTGCCTCATGACTTGCATGGCGATGGCTTCAAAATACAGGTACCTTAGGTACTCGTACCACTGCAGCGGCGATCCGGGTGCTGGGCCGGGGTACTTGGTACCTGTCCGTTTCCGTGGATGGCGGCAGTGCAGCTTGATTGGCGCTGGCACGTGATCGTATCGCCGCCCGTGTTTCGCGACGCGATATCGCTTTACATCAGCCAGAGCAAATGGCCATCATCCTGGCTCACGACTGCTAAGCATCGGTCCCATTGTCGCATTCCACCATGATGCAGCCACAGCAATATCGTGCTTATGCCCAGCAGGCGCCGCAACGGTCGCCGCATCCTCCAAACCAGCGGCGCGGAGGAATTGGTATGCTTTTCTCTCTCTAACTGACCATGGCCCGACACGATCGCATTTTGTCTAACTTCGCTCACAGGGCCCATGATGTCCTCTGGACCGCACCCTTCCGTCCCTCTGACACAGGCGCAGATTGCTCACCAGCAGCAAGCGCAAGCGCAGGCTAGCGAGTTGGCGAAGCGGAGGAGTCGCAAGCCGACAGACAAGAACATCCCCGACGGCGTGGAGGACTGCATCGTCGACCCGGAAGCCGTCAAACGATATGCAGACCTGAGGGACGTGGAGAGACTGATTGATGCCACTATAACGCGGAAACGGCTCGACGTGCTTGATGATGCAAAGCGAACTTCCAAGGTTGGCCTCTAACCCCCCTCCATCGTTTGCCCAAGATTATGTGCGGTAACGGCTTACACTTTTCTAGCTGCGCAAGACGCTGCGAATCTGGATCAGCAATACCGTCGAAGATCAAATCTGGCAAGGCAACAGTCTCAACGCCGATTCTTTCGACTTTACGCCGGCAACCGAAGCATCTTACCGCGTGAAAATCGAGGGCCATCTCCTTGATGACGACGATCAAACAAAGAACGAGCACACGACGCCCGAAGCCTCTTCATCAGAGGACAAACAGGAAGAGACCAAGGCCCAGAAGCCTTCTGGCGCCGAGGCGAGCCAAAAGAAATACAGATTCTCGCATTTTTTCCAATCCATAACCGTGGACTTTGACCGCTCTCGATTCCGGAATGGCTCCGAACAAAGTGTGGAATGGAGGCGGCCGGAAGGCTCGCAGGCGCAAGCAGGCGGCCAGCTGCCAGCCGAGGCTGACTTTGACGAATTCACCTTCAAGCGCAACGGGGACGAGAACATGAACATCACCATCAACTTACAGAGACACGAGTCGCCTGAAAGATACCAACTGACTCCCGAGCTTGCGCAAATCGTCGACATGACTGAAGCAACGCAACACGAGGCTGTCATGGCACTGTGGGAATACATACGACTGTCCGGATTGCAGGAAGATGATGAACGGCGTAACTTTCGCTGCGATGCCAACTTGAAAAAGGTCCGTCACATCCCGGCTGCTTCTAGCAAGCTGTTTTATTATCCTGTTTCTATAGTTGCTGACCAGTTCAGGTAATCGGGCGAGAGGCTGGTGTTATACCAATGCTCAGCGAATACGTGATGCCGCATCTTCGTCCTCTGCCCCCCATATCCCTACCATATACGATTCGGGTGGATGAAGAGTTCCACAGAAACCCCCAGCCTACAGTATACGATATCCAAGTGCTGGTGGAGGATCCCATCAAGGCCAACCTGCGCCCGTTATTGAACAACCCTCAATATGCGGCTACGCTGAAGCAAATTGCCGTTCTGGACGAACAGTTGGCCAGGCTTGTTCAAGCAATCTCCATGTCCAAAGCCAAACACTCCTTTTTCCATTCACTGAGCCAAGACCCCGCCAATTTCGTAAAGAGTTGGCTCAGCTCGCAAAAGCGCGACCTTGAAATCATCATGGGTGAAGCAGCAAGCGATGCTGAAAACGTGGCTGGGGATGAGTGGCGACGAGGCGGTAGCAACAGTGTGTGGAACAGCCAGAACGCTCGGGAGAGCGTTAATGTGCTTCTCTCTAGACAAAGGTGAAGCTTTCACACTTGGGCATGCATGAGTCAGTCTGAGAAGCCAGCAGATGTCGCCTGCGATGCAGGTAATGGATTGAAGGGAGTGGGAACGCAACGAGACGAACAAAAAGCTACAGTAGCAAGTCATGATTATTTTTGTTGCCTGGAGAGCTAGTATGTGGTTCAAGACTTGGGTATGAACTTTATCCAGCCAAGCCCTTTTGTCTGCATACTGTATCAGTTTGTAATATTATCTTCTTTATAGCATGTCCCTTGAGCCGCAATTGATCTGGCCAGGCCGTAACTCCCCAGTATCTGATAAACTCCAATACAAAATGAGGATAGAGCGGCCAACAAAAAGAAAAGAAAGCAAAAAACAAGACAAGATCAGAAGGAGGCATAGCAAACCGCTCATCAATATCAGTTCTAACTGCTAGTATGCCCCATCCGAGAGTCGATATACCCTATGATGCGCTGACAGATCGTTGAGAGACGACGGGAGTCGATGGCATATTACGGATTTGCTTAATCAAAAATTCTCGTTCATCAATGAATTGCTCGTCGTCAGTGCGGTCCTCGAGAAAGTGCGCGAGGAAGACGAGGAGCTTCTCGCGGTTCATGAGGAGGATCTTCTGGACGGCGATGGACTTGTGCGGATTCGCCACGAAAACCTTGAACACGTGGAAGCCTTCATACTGGACCATCTTCCTGTCGTCCCGCAGAAGGTTCATGCAGATTTTCAAATGCTCGCCACTATCGACATAGGCCGTCATGACGCTGTAGTTGGAGCGGTCCAGCAGCAGTTCGCCCAGGAGCTTGATGGACTGCCGCTTGGTGACGTAGCTGTTGGACTGGACCAGGGTGTTGTTGTACTTGTCAAAAAACAGGTCGAAGTTGGTGGATAGGTATTTCGGGATCAGGTCTTTATGCCGCGTCAAGAGTTCCTGTTGAAGACGGTTAGAAACGTTTGGTTCAGAGCGCTCGCTTCGGAATAAGTAGCATCGTGTCCCACCCGAAAGGTTGTGAAAGCGTCGGCAGCAACTTCAAAAGAGCTCTTGTTGATCCAGTCGAAGAACTTCCAGAACACTCCTCGGCCGCTCTGGGGTCGGTTGCGGTCAATGGCATTGAGGCCCTTACAGCTAGATCCCGGTTCATCTCCGTCGTCATAGAGGATTATGGCCGCTGCCGCCTCGTTCTTGATGAGCTCCCGGAGGACGGATCCCGCAGGCGTGGCACTTTCTTTGTGGTCATAGGCGCGGCAGAGTTCAACTAGGACTTGTGGTCTGTTACACACCACATAGGACAGGGCGATGGGGTCGCTCTTTGGAGCCGCCGCCGCGGGCCGGAAGCGGAACACATAAGAGAAGATCACTTGGGTATCCTTCCGCGACTCAAAGGGCAGGCGATAGAGGTTGGTAGCTAGGAGGTGGAGCAGGTCTTCGTCTATCAGGGCCGTGACGAGCTGATAGATCTGCTCGGGTGAGCTCTCAGTTTCTTGGGACCAGTGTTAATGCACCCAGACGGCTCGGCCGAGAACAGTGGGACGGGGTACGGAGGAAGCGGAAGCGTGACGGCGTCTGTGTGTGTGTGGAGGGTGGGATGGATATGCATACCTTGAGTGCCTTGGAGGACGACCTTCATCTGATTGAGCACGCGAGCAAGCTCTTCAGCCTGACCGTGTTAGAGGAAACCGCCTGCGACGACACCGAGGGGGGCCTCACGCCGCTCACCTTGGAGACCCCGTTGGGGCTTTCGAGCTTCATAATGTGATCCCGAGCCTGCCTGGGTAGATCGGCAGCAGCCCGCGATCTGCCTCTCCCAAACAAGAACGACATGGTCGAGCGCTATAGGGCTGTGAGCGCGTCAAGGTCCGGTCGTCTCTCGCTCTCGCTCTATGTGCCAGGTGGTTGCCCGTGTACATAACCTCGTCTCACATCAGCCGTCTGTGAAGCCTTTCAGGGGCGGGAATCCGGAGTTGTCTGCTCGGTCTGTTTCCCCGGAGCTCTACGCCTAAGTTGACAGGCTGTTAATAGGGATGTCAATCCAAGATGCGTCAGCGCGCCTGTCCGCGGATTATATCAGCGGTGCTAAGCAACGGCCGCCGCAGGATGCTACCTGTTACGGCTTAGACCAGTCTAGACTGGCTGCCGTTCCTGACCTAGCGTCACAACATTAGAAAGCATTTTCTGAGTGCGCAACCGCTGCCCCCCCACTTGCCCTCTGCGGAATAATGAGGGGCTACTCCGACGCCCCTCCATTCGAAACTTTGACTCACTCCGGGCCGAACGAAATTCAAGCGCTTCAAGCAGTGGGTGGTTGAAATTGTCAGCTTTTCCCTTTGCTTCTGTTGTTCTGGCATATCGCACCACTTCCTCTCCTCTATCCACTGAGCTTCCTCTGAGGAGAGAGATCCGGCAACATGTCTATCGATTTCCCAAAGGAAGAGGAAGCCATCATCCAGAGATGGCGCGAGATCGACGCTTTCCATCGCCAAGTATGTCCAGGCAAATTCAATATCCTTCGTTGCTGTTGCGCATTCTAACAAGGTCTCATAGCTGGAATTGTCCGCTGGTCGACCTCCGTATACGTTCTATGATGGCCCTCCATTTGCTACAGGTCTCCCCCATTACGGGCACCTGCTCGCCTCCACCATCAAGGACATCATTCCCCGATACTGGTCCATGAAGGGTTACCATGTCGAGCGACGATTCGGATGGGATACCCACGGCATCCCGATCGAGCACGAGATTGACAAGAAGCTGGGTATCTCCGGAAAGGCTGCCGTTGAGAAGCTGGGAATTGGAAAGTACAACGAAGAGTGCCGCTCTATCGTGATGCGATACGCTGCCGAATGGCGCACTACCATCGAACGTTTGGGACGATGGATCGACTTTGACAACGACTACAAGGTCAGGCCATTTTCATGAACGACCCTGCGCTTTGTGTAGAGACAGTTATTAATGTGTTGCCACAGACCATGGACCCGACCTTCATGGAGTCGCTGTGGTGGGTTTTCAAGCAGCTGTTCGACAAGGGACAGGTCTACCAGGGCTACCGAGTGATGCCTTACTCGACAGTCTTGACCACTGCCCTTAGCAACTTCGAGGCCAACCAAAACTACCAAGACGTTACCGATCCCGCCGTTGTTGTGTCATTCCCCCTGTTGGATGATCCGGACACTCACCTCTTGGCCTGGACGACTACCCCTTGGACTCTGCCGTCACACACCGGTCTCGCAGCTCACCCAGACTTCGAGTACCTCAAGATCAAGGACGGCAAGTCTGGAAAGAACTACATCATCTTGGAGAATCTGCTGGGCACTCTTTACAAGGACCCCAAAAAGGCTGATTTCAAAAAGATTGGCACAATCAAGGGCTCGGAGATGCTTGGGTGGAAGTACAAGCCTTTGTTTGACTACTTCTATGAAGACTTCAAGGACGTAGGCTTCAGAGTCCTCAACGCCACCTATGTTACGGCGGATAGCGGTGTGGGAGTTGTCCACCAGGCACCGGCTTATGGTGAGGACGATTACAATGTGGCCCTCGAGGCGGGCATCATCAGCGAGAAGCGCCCCCCTCCGGATCCGATCAACGACACTGGTCACTTTACCGACCGCGTTCCCGAATTCGCCGGCATGCACGTCAAGGAAGCCGACAAGCACATCATCAAGTACCTCAAGCAGGCTGGGCGCCTGGTCGTTGAGTCTCAGATTCGACACTCTTACCCCATGTGCCCTCGCTCTGATACCCCGCTCATCTACAGGACTGTGCCTTCATGGCTCATTCGCATTCCCGAGATCATCCCCAGCATGCTCAAGAACATTGAGGACTCTCACTGGGTTCCCTCATTCGTGAAGGAGCGTCGGTTTGCCAGCTGGATCCAGAATGCTCGAGACTGGAATGTTGGAAGAAACCGATACTGGGGCACACCGATCCCGCTTTGGGTGAGCGATGACTTGGAGGAGCGCGTTTGCGTGGGAAGCGTTGAGGAACTTCGAGAGCTCAGCGGCTATACTGGAGAACTCAACGATATCCACCGAGACAAGATTGACCACATCACCATCCCCAGCAAAATGGGCAAGGGCACCCTGAGGCGTGTGGAGGAGGTCTTTGACTGCTGGTTCGAGTCAGGAAGCATGCCCTACGCCAGTCAGCACTATCCGTTTGAGAATGTCGAGAAGTTCAAGAACTCCTTCCCTGGAGATTTCATCGCCGAAGGCCTGGACCAGACTCGAGGCTGGTTCTACACTCTGCTCGTACTGGGCACACACCTGTTCGGCACTGCACCATTCAAGAACTGTGTTGTGAACGGTATCGTCCTCGCGGAAGATGGCAAGAAGATGTCAAAACGATTGAAGAACTACCCCGATCCCAGCATCGTGATGAGCAAGTACGGCTCTGATGCCCTGAGACTCTACCTTATCAACTCCCCCGTCGTGCGAGCGGAGCCACTGCGATTCAAGGAGACTGGAGTAAGAGAAGTCGTTCAAAAGGTGCTGCTTCCGCTCTGGAACAGTTACAAGTTTTTCGAAGGCCAGGTTGCGCTCTTGAAGAAGGTTGAGGGAGTGGACTACATGTGGAACACTGGGTTGGAGACTACCAACACCAACGTCATGGACAAGTGGATTCTGGCCAGCTGCCAGAGTCTGCTGCAGTTCGTCAACGAAGAGATGAAGGGTACGTAATTCTGAGGCTACAGGTCTCAAGACCCCCGTAACTCGCTATTTGAAGTATTGAAACTAACATACATGCCAAGGTTATCGACTGTACACCGTCGTCCCTCGACTCCTGGAACTCATTGACAACACCACCAACTGGTACATCAGATTCAACCGACGACGTCTCAAGGGAGAAAATGGCCTGAACGATACTCTTCACGCGCTCAATGCCCTCTTCGACGTCCTCTTTACTCTCTGCAGAGGATTGGCCCCCTTCACACCTTTCCTGTCAGACACCATCTACCTGAAGCTTCTGAAGCACATTCCCAAGGAGCTGCAAGGAGAGGACTCTCGAAGTGTTCACTTCCTGGCCTTCCCGGAAGTCCGGGAGGAGTTGTTCGATGAGGAGGTTGAGCGTAGAGTATCAAGAATGCAGCGTGTCATTGAGCTGGCACGAGTCTCGCGAGAGCGCAGAGGCATTGGGCTGAAGACACCTCTCCGAACCCTGGTTGTCCTTCATCACGACAAGCAATATCTTGATGATATCAAATCGCTCGAATCCTACATCACCGAGGAACTGAACATCAGGGACTTGGTGCTCACCGATGACGAGGCGAAGTACAACGTCCAGTACAGCGTCACCGCTGATTGGCCGGTGCTCGGTAAGAAGCTCAAGAAGGACATGGCACGAGTCAAGAAGGCCCTGCCGGGCTTGACCAGTGAGCAGGCGCAAAGCTATCTCACGGAGAAGCACATCATCGTCGATGGCATCCGTCTCGAGGAGGGCGATCTCGTTGTCCGCCGAAGTGTGAAGGAGACCGAGGCCTCCAAGAAGCTGGAGATCAACACCGACAGCGAGCTGCTGACCATATTGGACTCGGAGATTTACCCTGAATTGGCCGAGGAGGGGTTGGCCAGAGAGATTATCAACAGGGTTCAGCGCCTGCGCAAGAAGGCTGGCCTGCAGCCTACCGACGACGTCAAGATGGAGTACCAGGTCTTGTCCGATCCCGAGAACATTGGACTGGAGAAGGTGATGGTTTCTCAAACGTCTGCTTTCGAGAGGGTCCTTCGTCGGCCGGTCGAGCAGCGTCAAGAGGGCGCCACCAACGAGCTTATTGCGGAAGAGGAGCAAGAGATCCAGCAGGCCATGCTGCTGCTGCGCCTTGTCAAGATTTGAAGATGAAAGCTTAGAACTCCATGTATTAAGACCAAGAGTTAAATCTAAGTAAAGAAAGAAAAGAAAAGCAAATATTAGAGTAAAGGAAGAAACATTTCTCTCAAACTCGAGAAAGTGTATCATGTGTATGAGTATAAGCTGTGCAATGTGTATTACGCCTTTTTCATTGCCGCCTGTGATGTTTGATGATTGGAATGATTCTCAGTCAGTGTTCGGCTGAGATTATACAGTAATATGTATAGAAGAAGGCACATGTCGACTCACCAAGTAGCAGTCCTTCAACCTCATGAATTCCCGAGCGCACTTGTCCTTGGTGACATCGTTATAATCCGCCACGATGCATTTCCCATACGCAGTAGCCTATTTGCACCTTTCCTTAGCATGCACAAGTTTTGGAATGACAGCTTTCTTCATGGTAAGGTACGGTACCTCTACTGAACATTTGGCGACTGCCTTGGAAAGTTTCTGGATAGGGCGGGTGGTGGACGTTGGAGGGTTCATTGTGTGGGGTGTATATCTCGTCGAGATTGATTTATTGATTATAGACGAGAAGTAGGGTTTGCCGCGAGGTCTGATATAGGTTGATAGTAAAGAATTGGAGGGGGAGGAAGAGACGTCGAGATGCTTAAAGGTTGAAGTTGCGGCGTGGATTTGGCGCTGTTTGATGGGAGCTTTGTTAGCGTTGGTGGGGAAGTGTTGTATCTTTCATGTCATTTATTCTGTTGCAGATGCAGGTGGCAACTACAGATATATTTTGTTTATTTTTTTTCTACTCGAGATTTGTCGGACATGGAATCATATGGCGCATTCTATCAAGGGCGAATAACTTCAAACTTGGGTAGATTCAATTGAAGATTACGTTCTGGTTAAGAATCAAGCCCAAGGCGAGAAGCTCCTGCAAAGAGGGCCGAACAATAGATGGCCGTCACACACTGTGAAGACAAATACTACACTTTCCAAGAATGACATCTTCAACGTCTGCCCACAATACCAAATCAGTGCTTCGCTCAATCACCCGCCCAGTGCCAAGTTCCGCGAACTGCTGTTTCGATGCTCCCGGGCAAGGATGCCTGGGAAGATCATGGGGTCGCTTCCGGTAATGTGGTCCCCTGCCGTGCTGCTGGCAGGCAAAAGAGGCTCTGCTGCATGAGAGTCGATGAAGGATGCATGTCCCCCGGACGCTACATCCTTGGGCTCAGGCATCGTAGCCGCTAGAGAAGAAGGCTTCTTGATTTCTTTTCTCTCCGCTGCCTCGACGCTTCTCGGTGCGCTTGGGACGGCCTCATTGGCAGCACCGTATGCGGAATATCGATTCAAGCTGAGGATTCCAAATCAGTACAGGTACGGCTATATGTGAAAGTGTGACTGTGACAAAGGGGAGGACGCAGGGAGTCCTAATCACTTACATATCTCTCTCTTGGAGGAGCGTGTGGTACCGGTATTCCTCTCTGCGATCCGGCACGTTGGTCTTGGCCATGTTGTTCCCGTCTTTCCCAGGCTTGTCGAAATCTTGACCCAGCCACTGCTGCTTGATAGATTTCTCATAGCCACTCTGCTTCACCGAATTCTTCGCCAACTCGCACATATCTACCGGGCTCAGCTTATATATCTGCGCAGCCACGGCATACTCCTCGATCAGGGGCTCCTTGGTAAAGGCAAACTGCAGCGGATCATCCGTGGACAAGGAGACGTTCAGGCCACGCTTGAAATACTGGTGAAAAGGATTCCGTTCATAGGCCAAGAATAACGCGTTGTTGCTCAGCGGCGACATGGCGATTCCGATTTGCTCGAGATAGAAGACGTACTGGAGCAAAGGAACTTTCCGCAGCAGCAAGCCATGGCTGATGCTATGACAACACAATGCTGCCACAGCCAAGTGTTCGCTATCGCCAGCTTCTCCACAATGAGGCCGTAGAACAAAGGTGCTGAAGCCGCGACTCCGCCGGAAGTGATTCAACGAGGTCATGTTGGCATACAAGAAATAGATCCAGTAGCTATACGGAGGATTCTGCTTCGTATCCCAAGCCCTGGGCACGGGGAATTTCCTAAAGAGCCGTCTTTCGATCTTGCTCTCGTCATCGACGCTGTCGAAGCCAATGACACGTTGGAGGAATACATGTAGCTTTGGATGACGCGAAGGATCCATTGTGGCCTCGAAGAGCGGTTGGAAGATGTTGCGCACGACTTGCTCGAAAGTATCCATCAAACCACTTGCTTTATACACGTCGTAGAGGCGAGGGATCTGGATCAGCCACCGAACATTGTGAGAAAAGAGCTTGTTGTCCACAACCCAGGCCGCAAGCTTATCCCATTCATCAATGGACTTGCCGTAGACGGAGATGCGCCACTCGACCATCTGGTATTTACTGGACTCCAAGTCGGATATCACTTCCTTCGTTATGTCGGCCAGGTAGCGCCCATGCATGAAGTTGTCAGTCTTGAGGAAAATCGTCCTCAGGCGCGACTCGCCGATAGGGTTGTATTTGAGGTTGAATTTATCGAACCGGTGAAAGGAATCAATGTGTGCCTGGCCAGTTAGAAACGCCGTTGCGTCGAGGAACATTCCGGGGTGCCATGGAGGCTGCGACTTACATGCATATCAAGAGTGTCGATGCTCAAGTCATAAGCTGTCAAATTGATGCTGGCAAAGACCTCTGCCAAGGTGAGATACTTGCCATCCCGGAAGAGCACAACTTCATTAGGAGACTTCTTCATTTTACTCTTAATGAATCGTAATAGATGCTTTTGGTTCATGCAAGCCGAATGATGGACGTGCGTATCCACCTTTCTAACGTTGTAGAAATCTCGATGCGGCACTTTTTTGCTATCGGCAGTCTCCTGATATTCATTGAGGAGAGCATAGAGGTCGAATTTCCCCTCTAGATACTTGAGTCGACGAAAAGCAAAGCTTTTGCTCGGACCATCCGATGAAACTCTGATTATTTCCTCCAGATCCACGTAGAATTCCCGGATCGTAGGCACACGTATGGCGGGAGACTTAGTGGCCGGGGAGTCGAAAACCTGATAGACTCCTTCGCTGTCGAGCTCGAAAGTCATGTCACTGGTGTCTGGCAAAGGAAGCAAGTCGTCTAGGCAGAAATCATCCCCGATACGGTGGCCAGACTTTCTTCTTCTGATAGGTCTCCTCCGTTCAGGAGGGTTTGTCGAAGACTCTATGCCTTGTTTACCGGTCTCACTGGAGCCATGGCCGTGGCTTGGGACCCACGCGGGTTCAGGAGGAGGGGGGTATATTTCCCATCCAGGGGCATCTCTAGGGTTGTCGTTTGGGCGTTGATACGAAATAGCAATATACCTGCGTCGTGTATCAACTATTCGCTGAATCTGCTTCGAGATAGCACCGAGCTCAGCCGTTATGTGAGGCTCAGTGTCAAAGAGTGCATGCCCTGCCAATCCAGCAGTGGGGTCATTGGCGGCCTTTGCGTCTTTGAGGATGTAGCTGGTATCAAGGCTGGGCTTGTGAAGATGTGATGGAGTGAGGGGGTTTGTTGATCCAAAGGGCTTGAAAGGGACCTCTACGGCATCTGGCGTATCTGGTAACAGCATAGCATGATCAGCAGTTCGTTTCCTTTTGGCGTGCTTCGCAGATTGATTGGCTTAATCACCATCTGGGTCAAGAACCAATGAATCAGCCCCGTACTCTGTAGCCGGGCGAGATCCTGCGAAAATGAGCGGACTTTCGAATGGGGTTGCCTGCGGCCATGGAGAGTTTCCATTGCGCGACCGCTGGTAGAACAGCTTGGCCTCCGTTTGCGTCGTCTGTAGTTCCGCAACGGCATCATAGAAGGTGGTGCGCTCTTCAAAGTCCCGGAGTAGAAGTCCATCATCAAGATGTCCCTCGGTGTCCACAAGCGGCTCTGAATGCTCTCCATGGTCGACCAAGCCACTGGCGGCGGGTTCTTGCATGGGCTCGTCGTCGCCTTCGTCTCTGGTACGGACCGGGAGAGACACGCCGCCGCTCCCATGTAAGTCGCGGTCTATATCAGATTGGTCAGGAATAGTGGTTGAATTGATGATCACCATATGGAAAGGGAAGAGTTGAAGATGGTCCCCGTTCTGTTGAGATGCCCAAGCACGACCTCACATGATGCTTTGTGCTTTGTGCTTTGTGCTTTGTGCATCGCAGTTGTTGTAGCTGCCAAGGGTACTCAAGCTCAGGAATCGACTCACCAGCCATAGCCCTTATTTACCGAATTCCGGTACAGCAAGACGCCGTCGAGAGCAAAAGGAACAGGGCGACGCCTGCGTTGAAGGAATCAACGAAGCGGTTAGTCCGTGAGGGAGGAATTAAGGTTGCACGGCAAGATCTAGGACTAAAAGCCCGAAGGCGTCTGAAGGCGTTGGTTGGGAAGGCGCCGTGTCCAATAACACTGCTGTCGTGGCTGCCAGGCAAAAGAGAGCTAATCCGTGGCAGGGCTAGGGCACCCTGAACAGGACTAGCGCGTGCTGCTTGGCAGGAGTCCGATCTGGAGTACCTGGTACTTGAGATCGATCTCATGTGCATCACAAGAACTTGCATCACAAGACTTTGCAGGTACATTCCAGATAGAGAGTCATGCTTGCATTCAGCATCTCCAGGAGTCAATGCAGACTTCTACTAAGATTGAGAATAAGCAACTCTCAAATTCGTAGCGGCTGCTTACCGGTTTGATTGACTTCATTACACGAGTCTGTATTCTAAGGTATACATGCTAGGCTCTTCTATCGAATGGTCTATTCTAGAGCTTCGAGTATTGACAAGCCGCCTTCCGTATAGGACTCCGTTGCGGATCTTTCTATGTGTTTAACGGTAAACGACTCGCTCCGAAACGGCCAGTATAATCTCGCGTTGCAAGTTATAACATGAATGCCGAGGTCAAGCCTTCTTCTTCTCCTCTGACACAGCCGGTTTCGGGGCAACGCTGTAGAGGCCTGCGGCTCCAAACACCACTGCTGCGCTGAGAAGAGTAGTGGCTGTGAGAGTGTTTCCAAACAGCCAGATGCTCAGCAAAAGGCTTACGAGCTTCCGGATGCTCAGGATGATCGTGACAGTGAGCGCTGATGCGTTCGCTGCAAGGAGATTCACACCTCTGATGCAGGCATACTGAGTCAGCACATTGGCCGAGAGATAGGCCAGCTGGGACGGGACTCGCACGGGCTGCAGCGGCGCAGCGAACGGTATGTACAATTCAAGAGGCGTGCTCTTGCTTAGCACGAGTAGATTGCGCCACATGGAGGGCGCAAAGGGCAGAAACAACGGCAACGACAGGATATGGGAGTAGAACAGGTTCTCTTTCCACTGCGGCCCGTACTTTCGATACGTTGCCTCGGTATACAGGCCCATGACGGCCGAAAGAACTTGGGCCACAAAGATAATCAAAAGCCCGGGATTGAATACGGGGTCGGCACCATCTTCAGACGTTTTCTGCGTAGCTTGTCAGGACGAGGATTGTGACACCAGTGGCAACGTGGCAAGCTAGCTACCTTGGCTTTGGAATCGGACCAGGCGGCAAGGCTGACGCCAATGCTGAGGACAAAAACTGCGAAGATCTGGGCTCGAGAATACGATTTGCCGCAAAGGTAGCCAGCAGCCATGGTCGTGATGCTACCTCCAGATCGGAGGATGATGTGGACCGGCACGGAGATGTTGTAGCTAAAGGCATGGTTGTTCAACACGTTGATGCTGAAGAACAGCAGGATATTGACGAGCCAGCGGCGAAGAGGGACGACATTGGGAGCCACGAAGAACGGCGGCCGTGTCCTGTCGAATTGCGCAATGTAACCAGTGATGGCGATGAACAGGAACTGAACAAAGGTGACGAGCGTTCCTACGTGGATAAGCGCATGGTTGGAATCGATCTTCTACGGGAGTGGGCGTGCGAGTGCAGGTATACCGTTTGCGGGCTCGAAGCTATGGGGTAGTCAGCAATTGAAGTCTGTATCGGGTCAGAGACATTGCTTACTTACTTGATGATTGCCTCGAGAGCATAGACCTGTAGAAGGATGCCGTTCAGTCACGCCGAGCGCGATCAATTGCGCTGGGAGAGAGCACCTACGTTGGAGCAGCATCCGCCAAATATCAAGACTGTCATAACCGCCGTGGCAAACAGAGTCGAGCCGCTGTCGACGGCGAAGCGGCGCACCGCATTTGCCAAGGCATGCGATGGACGGCCCTTGATGGGTGTCGACTGAGCACCGTTATCCGGTGTCAGTTCGGCGAGAGGAGGCTCCATTGCGTCTCTGCTTGTCGAGGCATCAAGATGGTGCCGTTTGGAGGAACACTTGTATCAACAAGCCGCAATGAACACTCTGGCTGCTATCTAATAAGTAAAGCCATATATAGCATTCGAGCAGCTCTATCGGCATATAAGCATAAAAGCATAATATTCCTTGGAAAATACAAAGCTTAGATAATTAAGATATTTATACCTTTAAAATTATAAGAATTAAAAAAAATTATTTATATAATGTTAAATTTTATTTTATTTTTATTTTATTATAATATATATTAAAGTAAGTAGGTAATATATATCTAGATATTATTTACTTTTAATACTAGTACTCATAAAGTTGTCTTGGCAAATTATCCTTGTATCAGTCAAAACTACTACTCAAACAAGTATAGTACCTTTGTGCTCTAGCTCCCTGGAGGGGTAGGTGCCGCCAGTAGAATGACGGAACGTAGCGACGTAAGTCGGATAGGTACCTAATTGCTTCTTTGGCGATTCCACCGTCAAGCAAACCACCAAACTCCAACCACCAACCACGATCTCTAACTGCCAAACCAATCCGCGTGGTTCCTGGTGCCCTCGCCCGTCAACGAACCGCTGCGAATCGCTCTTCTCCTTCTTCCCACTCTGACCGGAGTATCAACCTCCCCAAGAAACAAGATCCAGTCCTCAGCCAGCCAGCCACGATGCCGACCACCACCGCGGAAACGCTCTCGCTGGTGACCAGAAACGTCTCCGTCGCTCCGCTCGTCCTCCTCTCCGCCGTCGACCACTACAACCGAACAGTCACCAGCAAGACAAAGAGGCGGGTGGTCGGAGTTCTCCTCGGCCAGAATGACGGCAAGAATGTGAGGGTGTCCAACAGCTTCGCAGGTACGTCCAGATTTTGCCAGCAATGGCTGCATCTCGCAACAAGCTAACGACTCTTGCCCAGTTCCTTTCGAGGAGGACGAAAAGGACCCTTCAGTATGGTTCCTGGACCACAACTACGTCGAATCGATGAACGACATGTTCAAGAAGGTGAATGCGCGGGAGAAGTTGGTGGGGTGGTATCATTCGGGACCGAAGCTCCGTGCCTCTGATCTCGAAATCAACGAGCTGTTCAAGCGCTACACGCCCAACCCGCTGCTGGTCATTATCGACGTCCAGCCGAAGGAGTCGGGCGTGCCCACCGATGCGTACTTCGCGGTTGAGGAAATCAAAGATGTGAGTAGCTGTCTGACGCACTGGAACACGGGATAGGGACTGATGACTGATGTTCGCTTTCCCGCTCTCTAGGACGGAACGACGACTTCTCGAACGTTTGTCCACACGCCGTCCATCATCGAGGCCGAGGAAGCAGAGGAAATCGGAGTTGAGCACCTGCTGAGGGACATCCGTGACGTCGCTGTTGGCACCTTGTCCACGCGCGTCACCAACCAGCTCCAGTCGCTCCAAGGACTGCATCTTCGGTTACGAGACATTGGAGCCTATCTCCAGAAAGTCCTCGACGGCCAACTCCCCGTCAACCACGCGATCCTCGGCAACCTACAAGACGTCTTCAACCTTCTCCCCAACCTCTCTACGCCAGAAGACGACAGCAAACACGAACTATCACACGCCATGAGCATCAAGACCAATGACCAGCTGATGGCCATCTACCTCAGCAGCCTGATACGCGCCATCACCGCATTCCACGACTTAATAGAGAACAAGATCCAGAACCGACAGCAGCAGGACGAGAAGGAGCCGAAGAAGGACGAGGCCAAGGACAAGGACGAGAAGAAGGACGCGGCCGCCACCAACGCAAACGGGGAGTCCAAGGAGAGCAGCGATAAGGAAAAGCCCAAAAAGAAGTAATGAGGGGGAAAAGTGAATCTGACGTCTCCTGAACTCGGAGGCCAGGCGGTGCTTTGAGTAATATAAATGAACTACTGCTTTCTATACGTTTGGTGGCGGCAGACCGCTAGACAAAAAATCAAAATCAAATAGACATTGAAGGAATCAGTGAGGCCTCATGTGTTCCATTGTAGGGGCGTATTAAGGGCCTCCAATTATGGCAGCCAACTCTTCCTTTGTTATGTATCTGTCTCGAACATGGCCCGTGGTAGTCTTCCATTTCTCTGCCAGTAAGCAGGCAAGAAGATGTTTACAGCATGGAAAGTCATCATCGGGCGAAGCCAGTTCCAAGCTGGCGGGCCGTAAAGGCAATGCAGAGCTCTGGCAAGGTTGCTGCTCGTCCTTGCTCTTTGCATCGTAATGGGAGTACGCATCGAGAGCGAAGCCTCCGCAGGAGCAATTCCATGCGTCAAGATGCACCGCGTAGGTCTTGGCCCTCAGCGGCGTATGCCGTCTGCGTCTGGACGTTGGCGAGGCGGCAGATTGGACTGTGTACATGCATATCCGACCTGTGACGCCCGGTTCTTGCCCGTTGTTGGCACTCCGGCTCGTCGATTGTTCATCCGTAGATCCAATTTCGGCTTCAACGACGGCATGAGACAGCACTGATGCTGTAGCTGCCTCAGAGGCCCTCTGCTCCTCCCCATCCGCCACAACGAGACGACTGACGAGCCCCCGGTCCAGCATGTCCAAGGCCGGCAAAAGGAGATTCGGGAAGATGACGTGGAGCGTCAGCAGTTGCCGTCGCCAGTTGGAGTGTTGTTCGGCAAAAGGCGAGGGCCGGTCTGTGATGGCCTTGGAAACAGCAGCAGCAGCAGCAGCATCGGCGGTGCCGGCGGCGAACTCGCTTCCTGCCGGGAGAGGCGATGGCGGGATGAGGGCCGCGAAGAGTTGGCGGTGGGATGGGAGATGCTCGTCTCCCATTCTTCCTTGGAGAGCGCGCCTCGATTTATAGGAGCCAGGATCTTGTCTATCTGCCGAGGGGACTTGACTGTAACGAGGCGGCTCTCGTCCTGGAGTCGCTAAGTGTGGCGTTCATTGGCCGTGGTCTGTTGGTATCATGTTGCTGCGAAGACTATAATCCCGAAACTTGGAAAGAGAAGAGGTGTGAGAAAGCCGAAGTGGTTATGTTCTTTGGGCGACTTGGATGAGCCAAGTTTACTAGGTACAAATGAGGTCTGTTCAAAAGACACTTAAAGTCACATAACAGCCGGTGTTCTCCTCTAAACGACCCCCATTAGTCTGATTTAGGTATTACATGATTTAAATTGCCATTTCTTGTCTTTTTTATCTATTCCGCTACAACTACAAAAATATACTGCAAAATGCGCGTGATGTTATACAGAGATCTACCAATTACACCCACTCCTTGGGCTCCTTCAGCACGTCCACCAGCCTCTGCTCCCTGCTCTTGGGCTCCGGCTCGTACATGTACTTCCAGCTCGCCGTCAACGGCAAGCTCATGAGTATGCTCTCGACTCGTGATCCGGGCGTGTTGAGCCCAAAGGCTGTGCCTCGGTCGTGGACCAGGTTGAACTCGACATACTTGCCTCGGCGGATCTGCTGCCATTCCTTCTCCTTTGCATCAAAGGGCATGTCCTTGCGCTTCTCGATGATGGGCACGTACGACGGCAGGAAGGCCTTGAGGCAGTCCTGGACGAATGCAAAGGTGTTCTCCTGGTCGCGCTCGCTCTCGTCGAGATCGTCAAAGAAGATTCCCCCCACGCCGCGGCACTCACCGCGATGCTTGTTGTAAAAGTACTTGTCGCACCACTTCTTGAATCGAGGGTAGTACGTCTTGTCGTGCGAGTCGCAGGCCTCCTTGATCGTCTTATGGAAGTGGATGGCGTCCTCGTCGAAGAGGTACGATGGCGTCAGGTCACAGCCTCCTCCAAACCACCACGCCTGAGAGGTACCGTCGGGATTGGCCGTCTCAAAGTATCGGTAGTTGAGGTGCACCGTTGGGGCCATGGGGTTGGACGGGTGCAGCACCATGCTCAGGCCGGCGGCGAAGAACTCAAGGGACTCGACATTGGGGTCGAGGTTCTTGTGGTTCTCGCGCATCTTCAAGATGGCAGGCTTGGGCAACGACCCGTAGACGACGCTGACGCCAACGCCGGCCTTTTCGAACACATTACCCTCCTGCAGCACGCATGTGATGCCGCCGCCGCCATTGGGCCGTGTCCACTCGTCTTTCCGAAACTTCTTTCCGTCGATGCGCTCGAGTTCCTTGACAATCACCTGCTGCTGCTCCTTGATGAACTTTTCCATCCGCAGGCGCATGGGCGACTCCTCGGTGACAGCCGCCTCTCTCTTCTTCTGCTCGTCCTTCTCGGCGAGAGTACTGACGTCAAGCTTCGCGGATTCCGCCGTTGACTAGTAAAACAAACAAAGGGGGACACGTGTAAGCTGATTTCGGAGCATGAACTGCGTCTCCCCTGGCACGGCGTGCAAGACTCACCAAGCTGTAGGCCAAGGGAGCCGTGACGCCAATTGCGGCGGCTGCGAGCCAGACGACTGCCGAGGACGAGCCTCCGAAGCTGGCGGGAGTTCGACGGCTGCCCGAAGCAGTGGATGCCCATCGATTCAGGGTCAATTGGCCTCTGGGAGCCCTTGTTGCACGCAGGCGAACCTGCGAGGCCACGCGCTGAACATAGCGAGAGGCAGCCGAGGGCGCGGCCATGGCGGGGGGGTTGTTCCGACGGTGATGGGAACAAAGAAACGAAGTGCTGGGGCCTGGACAGAAGCGTAAGACTGGCCCCTACAAAAGACGGGAGACGCTGAGTTTAAGAACGACACGGCCTCGAGCGTCAGCCGGAGATGGAGAAATTTCGAATCTTGGATTCTCGTTGACTTGGGCAATTGGCCCCTCCACCGATCGAGCCACCGGCTTTCTTGGTGGCGTGTTCGGCGGGTTGACATCTTCCCACGCACAAGTCGTGCCGGGCCGGATCATGGTTTGGTTCGTCGGCACAAGCTCGGATCGGGCGATGGAGCGGGAAACCGTCTGACCGGAGCGTCTTCACCTTGACGGCTCGAATGAGTAGTGGAGGGAGAGTACGGACGAAGGAGGAAGACAGGTAGTTTATCCCGGGACCTGAAAGAGAATTTGAAGCGAAGATCAAAGGTTCTTATTCTGGAAACCGAAGAAGAGACAAAACAAGGACGTTTCTAACAAAGACGTTCTTTATGCGCCGAGGCGTAACAACTTTGAAGTGCTGCTCTGAAACCTCTTTCATCTTCCACTGCCGCTTTGGCATCTTGTCAAAGACATTACCGCTCTGTTGCGCTGGTGGGTTCGGTGAATCATCTTACACCAACCCAAACGTTCTGGAAGTGCTTCCAAGAAGTGATCTGATCTTTGTTAGAGCCCACCCTTGCTCGCGATGGAAGCGAATACGGCGCCAAACAAGCACACAAGCGCTGCCCAGCTTCAGCAACCGGCCAGGCAGAGCTAGAGCACTCGAACCTCTTTCGTAATCTTTGTCCCTTGCGCCTCTACTAAGGTAAGGTACTGGAGCAATTAGTAAGATGGCGTGTGGCTGGTGCTCGCTCCGTCCCTCGGGGAGCAGAGGTACCTCTACACGCAGCCGTCGGTACTCCTGTCAAGCCCTGGAGAATGCCAAAGGTGCAAGCCTCGTGACTGGGTGACTCGGCGTTGGGCACAAGGGTCCGGCAGCTGATCATGTGGCCGGCGGTGCCAGGTACCTTGCCAAGTACTCTGTAAAGACGGAGCCCTCGGCGGCGCTGCGGGAGCTGCGACGTGCTTGTGCCATACAGTGACGCTGCAGCGCTGCACTGTGGGACTGGGTGTCAAAGGGTACTGTGCCCGCGCGCAGAGGAGGTACCTTTGCGTGGGGAGCTGCCGGCTCGCGCGAGTACTCGCCCCGTACCGCGTTAGGACTCGGGGCTCCTGGCGCAGCTGGCACCTAGAGTCGTTGTAGGCCTCGTACCCCGGAAGTATCCTACGAGTTGATTCACCGCGTCCCGCATCGCCCTTTGAGCACTAGCGCCACCCTCCGCCCAAGGCATCAGTGCGAGCCTGCGCTGCGTTCAGCAAACAAAAGTGACATCCACGGTGACAAGGTGACAAAGCCCGACGCTCAAAGGGCAGCACCTGGCAGAAGAGGCGTCACTGCCTGCCTGCGCCTCTTGCCTTGCCTTGCCTGCCATACCTTACCTTGTCTGGCCACCGCCTTGTTCAGTCCAGTCATCGGGCCAGAGTCACTGGGTCACTCACCCCTCTCCCACGTCGTCACCAACCGACGCCTACTATTAAACCTAACCCGAGCCTCGACATCATTTCTGCATCCCTACATCCCTCAATCCCTTTTTCCTCATTCATCCAACCCCCCTTTCCATCTCTCCAGACCGCGCCAGCTTCGACAGAGCCGCTTACCGCAGTCGCCCTATCTGTCCGCCTCTAGCTCTAGATATTTATCGCTGAGTCCGCCCTTTAACATCGCCGCCGCCATCGCATCTCGCAGCCGCGCCTCGACTCTAGCTGTCGTCACCGAACAACACTCCCGCCCCTTAACCTCCGAATATCGCCAAGATGCGTAGCAAGTTCAAGGACGAGCACCCCTTCGAGAAGCGCAAGGCCGAGGCCGAGCGCATCCGACAGAAGTATTCCGACCGCATTCCTGTATGTCGTCACCTGCCGTCTTCACGCTTCCTTCCCTTGTCCCATTTGGGTTCCTACCAGAACCCAAGCCAAGCAACATGCACCCATCCGCTTGCTGCGGCGTCCCTTTTTGAATCTTGACAGCTGACCGAGTCCCCCCCTTTCTGTACAGGTCATCTGCGAAAAGGTCGAGAAGAGCGACATCGCTACCATCGACAAGAAGAAGTACCTGGTCCCTGCGGACCTGACAGTAGGCCAGTTCGTCTACGTCATTCGCAAGAGGATCAAGCTCTCTCCCGAGAAGGCCATCTTCATTTTCGTGGATGAGGTCCTCCCCCCCACCGCTGCTCTCATGAGCAGCATCTACGAGGAGCACAAGGATGAGGACGGGTACGAGCACCTTCTATTCCTCCCCCACCCCCCTTTACGTGTCGATCCTGTTCGCTAACATTCCGCTCTCCAGCTTCCTGTACATCACCTACTCCGGCGAGAACACCTTTGGTACCGCATAAACACCGAGGCGATACTGGGGATCATTCCAAGCTGATGAGGCTGATGCTGGCGTTCTGGTCGTTGGGCTTATACTCTTTTTGATTGATGGGGGATACGGGAGCTATATGATATTGCGAATTGATTGCTTTCAGGCAAGACGAACCAGATTGAAGCAGGATGCCGAGGCATCTCCTGTCAACCCCTCTTCGTCGCACGCCTTGCTTGCCAGGAGAATGAAGCGTGTCGCGAGAAAGGAACGATGAGCAACTCACGTGTAGGCAGCCAGGCAGCGTATAAGTCGCTGCGGCCTCTTCTACGTTGGATCGTCTTGCTCTCGCCTTTGCTCGCCGCACCTATGCCTATCACTTTTTTTTTAGTCGATGCAATCACAGAGGATTAATCTTAGCATATCCACCAATAGATGTTCTGTCCTACCCCTATAACCCCTTGCGTGCTCTGACTCTTTGCGCAGTGTGCTGTATCTCTGAGGTGGATCAGACGCACGGAGCATGAAAACAAGACATTATCATTGGTAGATTAAGCCATTATCATTGGTAGATTAAGCCACTATCATAGGCATGAGCATCGTGAAGGGCTCAAAGGGTATATACAACGTCCCAGCAACCCAAGATTGTTCTCCAACGAGAGATACACCCTCCCTTGTCCCAATTTCATTAAAAGTCGTTATAGGGGAAAAAAAAAAGTCATCCAAGAACAAAGAAAACTCAGACCCAAATCAAACAAATGAAACCTTTTCAACATGCGACTTCATGATGCCATCGTACTGGTGCATGACCTTTTCGTCGAT